AAAGCCTCTGCTGGGTTTTCATGTGTAAAGCCCTATCTGAAAGAGGCCAAACAGGTGTGAATTCGAATTGTCTAGAGCTTAACAAAGCCTCTGCTGGGTTTTCATGTGTAAAGCCCTATCTGAAAGAGGCCAAACAGGTGTGAATTCGAATTGTCTAGAGCTTAACAAAGCCTCTGCTGGGTTTTCATGTGTAAAGCCCTATCTGAAAGAGGCCAAACAGGTGTGAATTCGAATTGTCTAGAGCTTAACAAAGCCTCTGCTGGGTTTTCATGTGTAAAGCCCTATCTGAAAGAGGCCAAACAGGTGTGAATTCGAATTGTCTAGAGCTTAACAAAGCCTCTGCTGGGTTTTCATGTGTAAAGCCCTATCTGAAAGAGGCCAAACAGGTGTGAATTCGAATTGTCTAGAGCTTAACAAAGCCTCTGCTGGGTTTTCATGTGTAAAGCCCTATCTGAAAGAGGCCAAACAGGTGTGAATTCGAATTGTCTAGAGCTTAACAAAGCCTCTGCTGGGTTTTCATGTGTAAAGCCCTATCTGAAAGAGGCCAAACAGGTGTGAATTCGAATTGTCTAGAGCTTAACAAAGCCTCTGCTGGGTTTTCATGTGTAAAGCCCTATCTGAAAGAGGCCAAACAGGTGTGAATTCGAATTGTCTAGAGCTTAACAAAGCCTCTGCTGGGTTTTCATGTGTAAAGCCCTATCTGAAAGAGGCCAAACAGGTGTGAATTCGAATTGTCTAGAGCTTAACAAAGCCTCTGCTGGGTTTTCATGTGTAAAGCCCTATCTGAAAGAGGCCAAACAGGTGTGAATTCGAATTGTCTAGAGCTTAACAAAGCCTCTGCTGGGTTTTCATGTGTAAAGCCCTATCTGAAAGAGGCCAAACAGGTGTGAATTCGAATTGTCTAGAGCTTAACAAAGCCTCTGCTGGGTTTTCATGTGTAAAGCCCTATCTGAAAGAGGCCAAACAGGTGTGAATTCAAATTGTCTAGAGCTTAACAAAGCCTCTGCTGGTTTTTCATGTGTAAAGCCCCGAACAACATCTGCATATGAAAGAGGTCTTCCAGCAGACAGTGGTTGGGATGCAATCACAGTTACTTTTGTGCTTTCAACCCGTGAAGTAAGAGAATCTGGCGAATCTGCTCTGTTGTCATCAAACAGTTCCTCGAGACAAAATGTGGAATACTCAACATCTGACAGTGTTGAAAGAGGTGAAACTGGTCTACTGTCAGAGTGCTCTAAGTAATAGTTACAATGTTGACTCGTCACCTGGCCAAATGGAATTTGAGGGTACAAGGATCGCTGCTCAACTGACACCACAGATTCTGGTGAGGATGCTCTGAAATCTGCTAACCAGTCCTGCAGATGTGAAAAGTCAAAATCAGAAGACACAGATTCTGGTGACAATGCCCTGCTACTACACAATTTCTCAAGTTCAAAGTCTGAGAAAACTGACTGCGGGGAATCTGGCCTTGTCTCCTCAAACAAGGTTTCCAGACACAAATCAGTGCCCTCCCAGTCTGAAAATGTTGAATCTGGTGTAAACGACCTGTGACCTGCGAAGTCCATATCATAAGCAATGTGAGGGGATCTGAACTGAGCGACAGGTGAGTCAGGAGACAGGGGCCTGAGTTCACTTTGAGACACAGATTCTGGGGAGGATGATCTAAAGACTTCCAACCAGTTCTGCAGGAGCGAAAAGTCAAAATCGGAAGACACGGATTCTGGTGACAACGCCCTGCTACTGAACAACTTCTCAAGTTCAAAGTCTGAGAAAACTGACTGCGGGGAGTCTGGCCTTGTCTCCTCAAACAAGGTTTCCAGACACAAATCAGTGCCCTCCCAGTCTGAAATGGTTGATTCTGGTGTAAACGACCTGTGCCCTGACAAGTCCACATCGTAAGCGATATGGGAGGATCTGAACTGAGAGACAGGTGAGTCAGGAGAGAGTGGCCTGAGTTCACTTTGAGACACCATTGAGTCAGGAGAATGGGGCCTTAATTCGGTGTCCCAATGGTCTGTAGATGTGCCAGCGAACTCCCTATCTAGCAGAGGCCAAACAGGTGTGAATTCAAATTGTCTACAGCTCAACAAAGTCTCTGCAGGTTTTTCATGTGTAAAGCCCCGAACAACATCTGCATATGAAAGAGGTCTTCCAGCAGACAGTGGCTGGGATGCGTTCACACTTACCTTTGCGCCTTCAACCCATGAAATAAGTGAATCTGGCGAATCTCCTCTTTTGTCATCAAACAATTCCTCATGACCAAATGTGGAATACTGGTATACTGGTCTACTGTCAGTGTGCTCTAAGTAGTAGTTACAATGTTGCCTCTTCACCTGGCCAAATGGAATTTGAGGATACAAGGGTCCCTGGTTAACTGACTCCACTGATTCTGGTGAGGACGCTTTGAAGTCTCTGAAAAATGCTAATATTGGAGAATCCTCTTTGGTGTCATGAAATGTTTTTTCAAGGAATAAATCATCATATGTTCCTGTAAACATGCTTGATATATTGGACTGTGGACTTAATTTTGTCTTGCCATCTTCAAAGATATCTTTTGATGTTGGATTTATTTTATTTGGAAACTCCAAAATGTATTTAGGCCTTTCAACAAACTTGAATGTAATTGCTTTGGATAATGATTCGTTTTCGAACACATGGCAAGTTTGCAGAGATTGTTCCTGATATTCATGATATGAGCAAGACTTTCTTACTGGTGATTCTTTTCCCCCATCGAAATTTTGGGACTCTCTCATTTCATTGTCGTCTGAGGTTTTTTGTTCAATGTCTGTTACATCATCATTTGACTGACTTGGTGAAGGTATACATTCAAGAGATTGTGGCTTCAATTTAGAAAACCAGTAATCAAGAAAAGATTCACTACTTTCCCTCTCTTTTCTTAGGGTTTCAGTTGACAGTGGTGCAACTTGAAAGGACTCTTTGTTTTTACTTGAACCGCTTGAATCTTCATTCTGGATACTTTTGACATTTGAATGTGTAAGACACATTGCATCTGAAACAGCAAACAGTGGTGTATTTTCTTCATTTGTGGCACCTTTTTCATCCCACCATTCATTAAGAGGTGATGAAAGAACATTCATAGAATAGTCCATATAGTTAAATGGGAGATAACTTGATTTGAGAGATTCCTGAGTGACAGGAGGATTATGATTTGAAGCTACAAATTCTGGTGTCAAGGGCCTACTCTGAGCCATTCCCTCACTGCAGACTATTTTGTACGGAGTTGACAGTGGTGGTGAAGTCAGACTTCCTCCTGAATATTCTAAATAATAATCACAATATTGACACAAAAGTTGAGCACGGACAGTTTCTGAGAGCAAGAGTTCAAGGAAAGAAAAACTGCACTGAGAAGTCTGAGATTCTGGTGTAGACGGTCGACAATCCTTTTCTGAAGATCCATATCCATGAATAGATATAATTGGGTCAGGTGAACAATCTCTTTCATCAGGAGTAACATCTTCATGAAAAATTTCATCATACTCAATATTTGATGTCCCAGGTGAGAATGCTTTTAACTCTCCCTTTATCTGTGCACCTTCAGTCATAGGTTGATTATATTTAGGTAACTGAGAGTCAGCAGATAATGGCCTATATTTATTCCAAGACTCAAGGGACTCAGAACAAAAGGAGTGTGGAATTGCGGCAGAGGAAAAATCTTTCGAACCACATAGTGGTTCGCGTTTATCTGCATGTGACTGATGGGCTGGTAAAATATTTTCAGTGAAATTAATCATAATTTCAGGTGAACTACATGCATCAGACCTTGGAGACAGTGCCCGGCTGTCATCCCATATACTGGAAAAGTCTGCAAATAAGACCCTTCTTTCCTCCCGAGGAGAGTCAGGTGACATTGCCCTATAATCATTGATTGACATGACAGATTCTGGGGATGACAGTCTATATATGGAGTCATTTAATATCCATGCTTCTGCCGGGTGGAGATTCCTTTCATTAACAGGTGAAAATGAACCACACTGTCTCTCAGATGCTACAGAATCAGGGGTCAAAGGTCTATACTCTCTAAAAGTTAAAGGTAATGCCACATCTTGCTCAGGTGATTGTGGCGTGAGATTGGTGATAGGCAGGAAAAGGCTGGAAGAGGCAATCTTTTGCTCAGAGATGTAGGATGTCTTTTCCCTGACTATGACATGGCCATTCTCTGAACTAACAGAACACCAAGTATGGTACCTATCAGTTGAGTCACACGCCATGTGAGCAGGGTCAGTTATTGTCTGACTTGGTGCCAATATGGTCTTTGGTACCCTCACTTTGAATGGTTTCACCATGCTGTACTTAGCTGTTGTGATTGACTGGACAGCATCACTATCATCAATGAAGGGCATGTAATCTGGATACCCATCACTGCGTGTTTGAGGTTTCATGGTTTCTTCCTTGCTCGACTTGAAGAGTTGAAAGCTCGGGTCCACACATGAAGCCTGTGGGATCTTGTCATGACCATACGGTACTCTGAAGAATTGGGCTGTGACCTCATCACACTTCTGAGACAGCCTGCTTTTTTGAGCTACATCTGTGTCTGTGTCATCTTCAGTCATGGCCAGAGTTGCTTGATGGTCCTCTGGTGGCAATGCTAACAGGCTAGGGTCAGAGATACTTTTGACAATGGTTTTAGCTGTTTCTGTATCGCCAAGATGTATTGCATAGCTAAACTCATTATAAAGTTCACTGAAGTCAGTCTCAGCGTGGTCGGACTCTGATAGGCTCAGACTAAAGTCTCTGACAAATATAGATGATGATAACTTCAGAATTTCAGGTGACTGCCCTTGCCCATCTTCACAATCACACTGCTTCAATGGTAAGGTTTGGCTGCAGTCATCTTTGACTTGGCACTGAGTGCCACCTTGGAAAGGCCTGCCGAAATGAACTTCAACACTGCAGCTTTTCTGGTCTTTCACTTTGGAGTCATAAGCCTTTATTGTTTGGCTTCCCAATACTGCTTCTTTTGAAGTGGGAAGCGTACTTACTTGCTCATCTGAGTTGTCGTAACATTTAGGTTCAGGTGTAATTATATCCTCAGAGGTCCACAGGTTAGGGTTCAATTCACTGTAACACAAAAAAAGGGCTAGGTCACAAAATATGACTTTGCATGAATGTGATTAAATCAAGGCCCTAATCTAAAAAAGACAAAAGGGGAACATTTCTTTATTTGTTATTATTTGTGATGCAAATAACTGCACCATCTACGCTCTATGTAAGCATCAGCATGTGGCATAGTTTTATTTCCTTCCATCGACATGCTGGGAAATATTGACCTCCGGAAAGACAGCAGTTTTGATTACTTTATGTCTTTCTGCCTATATGGCATGTCTGGTGTGTGCTAAGGATGTCAAATGAAGTGAGACAAATAATGTGACACCACATTACACTGTTGTGTCTTGCGGATTCAGGTATCATTACAAATGAATTATTTACTGTGGGATCTCGAGCTCCTCCAATAGGTCACCATGCATGCTTTCTGAGTGGGTATGTCCAACAGGCTCTGCCCAGGAAGGAATATCCAGTAGGGAAGCAACTGAGAGGTCCTCCTCAGAAACAGCTGGGGGTGGTCTGCGATCTGACTCCACCCTTCTCACAACTCTGGGGCTGTCTGCATCCTCTTGCACTGAAGACAGGGCTACTGACACTGAAAAATACACATGTGATGAATAACAATGCAAGAAAAACAAATAGAAATTGCTGAATTGAGTGTTTAGAAGTGTTGCTACCTTCACTATGATCCAGTGTCTTCTCTATCTCTGCATAGGTTCTAGATGTTTGCTCTTGAACTGACTTGTTCATCTGGGTTTCAATGAGATGGACGATGTCCATGCGGTTGATTTTGGTTAGTCTCTTAATCAGACAATCCTCTGTGGAAGGATTTATCAATCATTAATAGACAGTAGGCATTCAATGAACACAATAAAGAAATTATTTAAAAATTGGAAATGTAATATTACACTGATCTACAGCATGAATATAGGTCTACAACTGATAGGTTCCAAACCAAAGATAAAATACATTCATTTAACAGGGTGTGCTCAAACAATTGCTCTCAGTGCATCAAAGTAAAAAGCTAATAGTGCCTTAAGTATCTTCAAACAAATACGCAATGTTTACAGGATTTGAAGTACTGCACTGACAAATATTAGTGAAATGTAAATTGAAATGTGTTTGACTAAAATGGCATTTACCTGTGGCGTGTTTACCTTCCCGCTCAACCCAGCGCTGCAGCAATGCATGGCTCTGCTCTTGGAGGGAATTAGGATTCTCTGTTCTCAATAATTGGATATCATCCTCACTGAATTCCAGTTCTCTTGCCAGCTCTATAGGGTGATAAATAACAAAACAATGGATGAAAATGTAAAAAATCCAGAATCACATTTTTTTGTTGTTTTTGTTGTTTTTTTGTTGTTTTTTGTTTTGCTGCTAGAACATGGATAGTCTTTTATAGCATTTTCAGCTATTCCCACAATTCTGCTTACAAATATATCAGTTTGAAATTAAATAAAATGCACCACATATTGCTTTTCCCAAAAATTTGTATTGAATTAAATATTTTGAAATTTAAATTTAAAAAAGAAAATAATTATATCACTTGACAGCTTACCAGTCCAGCTGAAGCCAAGAAGATCTGCAATGATAGCCAATGTCTCCTCTTTCCTGTCAGCATCATCCTGCCAATCCACTAAAATATGCCACCAAAGCCAAACATTAAATTTTCATGTCATGGTCTGCAGTTCAAGGTATAAATTATATCTCAAAGTAAAATTTTTATCACATTGCAGGTACCAGTAATGTACAATAGTGTAGAATATGTATAATATAATTTCCTGAGGACATTATGTTATGGGCTGTAATACTCTGAAATTAATTGTGGATCTGTGATGGTGACATGGATGATAATATAAATATTGGATTTGTCACTCTTCGCAGGAATTGGCTTGTTTATGGACTATGATTATTTGGTCACAATTAGCACATCAATTCTTTAATCATTAGTGTAAGCAATGGCATTAATGTGCTTATTAAGCAAGGTGCAAGCTAACATTAGTAATGTTGTATTAGTTGTGGAAGTCTGCAGCAAAATTGTTAAAGCTACTACATCTTCAACCAACATGGCCAATCTTGAGATTGCATATACACAAACACAGATGGAAAAGTAATTTACCAATACACAAAACATCAAAACACACATGTGTGTACACACACATACACACACACACACACACACACACACACACACACACATACACATACAAAAAATACAGACAAGAAAACACAATGCAAGATGGAACAAGACAAATCACAACACATGGAAACTACACAAAATGACTAATGGTGACATTGTGTTCTTAGGAAGAGGAATAAGGGTCTTGCAGTCGAGAAGAGATAGAAAAGCAAAAGCCCATGTAGGTATGGCCATACCTGACGTACATTTTGGAGTATGGTCATCGGTGATTCTCTGCATCTGAGTTTCCACCGTGTCATCCCAGGTAGGCCTTGTTTCAAATACATCCTCTTTCCTAGAAGATGGTTGCACACCTGGCAACGAATTGCCATCAGAGTCGAAACTGTGCGATGCTGGGATCTCATATGTGAAAATAACAGAATCTGGACTCCTGTGACTAGCACTGCTTATATCATCAGTATCCAAAGAAGACCTAACAGACGTTTCTGTAGTCTTGGAGATGTGGATTTCTTTCTTTTGGGGAGAGGAGGAAGAGATGCTGTGAGCTAGAGGTTTCTGCTGTGTCATGACAGGAAGTTTGGAGGGGGGAAATTTGGATTTATGAGTGGATTGACTACTGTCAGAGTAACTCCTTCTGTCTTTTTTAGAGGCTTTACTTGTGTCACTATCGGCCTCAGATCTAGTCCTACGATCCAAGGCTGAGCTTTTTTCTGCTTTTCTTTGAACGTGATCAAGCTTGAATGTCGGTGAGTCTTTCAAGATTATTTCAGATTTGAAATGGCAAGTCTTTTTTATTGTGCCGCTTGGTTTGATTGCCAAAGGTGGGGGTGAATCCTGATGATATGCTGGGATGCCACCCTGTGCAGCTGAAAGACACATCTCTATGACTGAGCACTGGTCTTCTTCATCTTCCTCCTCATCATCATCATCATCATTAGAGGAGTCTGGGGAATCGTGGCTCTGCTCTGAGTACACTGCATGGCCAGCTGTGGATGTGTCTGATTGAAGGTCAGCTATGGTAGAGTCTAGATAGCCTAGACCAAGGCTTTCAAGGGTTCCAACCTCACCTTGAACATTGGTTAGTCTCTCCAAAGCATTGGGGGAACCAAGGTGAACCTCTATGGAGCTGCCAAGATCAGTTTCAGAAAGTGGCTTTTCACTCTCTGACTTTTTACTTGAGGGTGTCATGAGAGTTCTGCGTTTAAGTGTAGGAATTTCATCACTGGTGCCCTGAGTCAGGGATGATTTTGGGATCTCTTGCAGGATTGTTTCAGTAATAGAATCACTATTATCTAAAGTTACAGATATTCTGACTGACTGACCTTCCCCAGTCTCCTCTGGCACAACTTCATCCACTGGATGTTCCCCCATGTGAGGAAGTGCATATCCTTCCTCTTCTTCATCAAAGCTTCTTCTTGTCATGTCAATAGCTCCCCCTCTGGTCATTTCAAACAGCTTCCCCTCTTGAAACTGAAACGGATCAGGGCTTGTCTCGTCACCTGGAATTCGAACAGGTGTTTTATGAGGTGTTTGTATGTCCTCTGCAGGACAAAGATTAATATGTTTCTCAGCCTCAACCTGTGCATCGAAGGCTACATCGTCACCCTCACAACCTGGGAAAACATATTCTAGTTCTTTAGCACACACCATAGCCGGAGGTCTGCTGACAAAATCTGAATCATCTCTCGGTGGTAAATTCACTTCATTTTCATCTGGATGGTGCTCATCTGTCACCCCGGCAGAAAAATGTGTGTCACTGAGTGAGGCATGGTCACCCTCTGTGGCATCTTCATCTTTGTATATTTGAGCTTCTCTTTCTGCTAACAGTGGCACAGGCTCCTCACTTCCTGGATCAGGCTCCTCTCTCTGAGTTGCAGTTAAACACAATTCATCAGTTGATCCAGTAGTTTTTAGTTGTGACTGAATTTCTACCTGCTCTGTAATGCTCAAGGTATCTGTTGTCTCAATAAGTGTGTGAGTGTCTTCTGTCACACATTGTTCAGAGATTTTGTCTAGTGTATCCTGTGAGGAAGAGTGTGTAACTGGGCCAAATGTTAGATTGAGCTCGTCGTCTTTGTGATCACCTGTCTCTAAAGATGCATCTCTCTTCATTTTAGCCTCCTGTTCCATCACCTCAAATGTTTTAATCTTTGCAGCCATTTTAAACATCTCCTCTTCTGGGGTGAATTGTTTATGAATTATATCATCCCCACTTTCATCTGTGTCGAGAGAGTCTTGCCTTATGAGCATGTGAAGATTCTCACTATCACAAATTTTGGGGTCGGAGGACATGTTGCCATCAGTTACTGCCATTGCTGAGTTGGAATATTTGTCTTCTTCAATTTCACTTTCTCTTTGGATATTCTCACCAGTGTTTTCTTGCTCATTTTGCTCACTTTCATCCCTGTAAACATCTTTGTCATAAGCAAAACACGCTTTGAGCTGGGATGCATAATCCTCATACACAGCTGTCTTGGTCGGCATCTGAGGTTCTGAGTCCTTCGATTTAGTGGGACTTCCCTCAAGAGAGTCTGGACATGGGGATTCTCCGATAGGGCTTGGTTCAATTGAATCAGGGGATTTTTTTGAAGATCTATCCTCCATGAGAGGACTGGCCTCTAGTGAATCCTGATGACATGGTTCTTTAGCTGGGTCATCAAAAACCACAGTGTTTAGGTTCTCCAAATCTGTCGGACGTTGTGGTGTGTTAAAACTACTTGGTAGTTGCGAAAATGTGTATGTTTCGAGAACTGAATGAGCAGGAACTACACTCACATCTTTATGGTCATTGTTCCAGTCTTCACTTATTGCATATGACTTTGTAAAGTCCACCATCCCTTCAGTAGAGTCATTAAAATGTGACACTGCACTTGAGAGACATGAGAGTTTAGCCTCACCCTCCTCAGATAAGAAACTCTTTGGGCCTTCATCTTCATGGGAACATGCCTGCCACTCACTTTCCAAAACCTCCTTTTCATTGATGTCCACAATGTCTACATTTGTATCTTCTGGTGACATCATGTTATGTTCAGGAGAGATTTTTGTTGTTAGTATAACTTGTTTGTAGCTCTCATGGACTAGGTCCTCTTCAGGGTGACATTGTATTGTCACTGGCCTTTCCTTGAGATATTGATCTAAGTTGCTACTGAGAAGTGACAACATGCCTGACATATCCTTCTCAGTTGAACACTGTTGGTGTGTCCTTTTCTGGATACAGACTTCTTGGAATGGTGTCTCCAATACAGAACTTGGTGTCAGTTCTTGGACCTCAACCACATCAGTCTGCATCTGTTCATATGTCTCTCCACCTATCTCATCCTCCACATTAATACCAGCTACTATTTGTGTTTTTTCACATACTGTTATTGTTTGCTCTGCACTAGAGGATTTTCGGACTTTAGTGAGAATAACTTCATCAAATTTCTCCTGGATAACATCCTCCTCTGGAGACCTAGTTTTTACTGGCCTGTCCTTTAGATACTGGTCCAAGTCACTATTCAGCAGTGACATCATGCCTGACATCTCCTTTACTTTTGTAGATCGTTGGTATGAAGTCTTTTTCTCTACCCATTCCTCCTTCATTGGTAGTTCTTCAGTCAAATTTGAGTGGGTTTCTTTTAGTTCACACACCACTTCTTCACGTCCCCTTGTAACCGTATGTTTGAATCCAGCACAATCTGTTTCTTCTGCTGTGTTATCCAGTGTCACTCCTTTATTTTCATCAGTGAAAGATGGTAAAATTTCAAATTTCTCCTGCACATTATCCTCTTCTATTGGTCGACCAGCCACAGGCCTAGGCTCTTGATACTCATCCATGTCACTGTTCATGACTGAAAACATCTCTGATGAATCTTTTACTTGGTTAGATGCTTTGTGTTCGTCCTTCAATTCTTCAGCTCCGATTGTAATTGAATGTTCTGCCATTGTTACATGACCTACTTGTTTTGTTGTTCCATCCATTATTGCTCCTTGATTTTCATGAGTGACAACTGTGAGAGTTTCTTTATCTTTGTCTTTTATTAAAATGACTTGTTCAAATTTCTCCTGCACAATATCCTCTTCTGGTGGCTGGCTTACAAAAAGCCTATCTTGAACATACTGATCCAAGTCACTGCTCAATAAGGATAACATCCCTGACATATCTTTTACTGTCATGGATTCCTGTCTAGATGTTTTCTTCTCAGTGTGTACTTCTTTAAGTTGTGGCTCCTCATTTTTGACATCTAGTACTTCAGTGTCAGTTTGTGTTAAAGATGTTTTGCCTCCATGAGTAATTGTTGTATTGTCCTTGCATGACTCATGAATTTTCTCCTCCTGTGAAGGTATGGTGTACTTTTCGTCTCTTTTAGCAGAGTAAGTAAGCGTTTCATTGGTCATTTGATGGGTCAGTGTGAGTCCTTCATAATTCTCGCTGTCTCCTGAGCTGGAATGAGGGGTCCTAATAGCAACACTAGTGTCTGAAGATTCAGTCAAGCCGTCATGCTTGGGACTCTCAGGACTTAGATCATCATCTCTCATTTGATTCTCCATAAGAGAAACACCTTTCCCAAAATAGCTTTGTATACAGGGACTCGAAAAGGATGCTAGATTCATATCAGAATCATCACCGAGGGTCTCCCTCTCAGGTGGCTCCAACTGATAGCTCACGTCTGCGGCTGTTGATGTCTGCTTGAACAGCTGGTACTCAGGACTTTCTTCCAACTCAGCCTTGATGTCAGCACTGAAGTCCTCAGAAGGTCTGCGATCAGGACTTATCTGTATGTCTTCAGATAAACTCCTACCAGTGCTTATGACTGGTTCCTTTAATTGCATCGTGTATAGGCCGTTCCCTGAGAACGCTTGCTCCTCATTCTGAGGGCTAACACTTCCATCATCAAATTGAATTGTATCAGTTCGCACTCCAAAGTGATCACCATCTGAAATCAAGTGTGATTCCTCAGAGTTATCGCTGTTTAAACTAACTGGTTGATCTAAGTCTGTCTTGACATATATGTTGACATCACTCTGTTGATGGAAAATTGTGAGGCTCTGAGTTTGGATTTGTGATTCTGGTTCCTGTGTAGGACTTCGCTCCGGTGTCTGTATCTCTGCAGATTCAGATATCAATGTTGAACTACTAGAAGAAGCCACTGATTTCGGTTCAAGAATCTCTGCTTTAGTTTCTGAAGAATCTTGCCCAGTCTGGAATGTCTTCATCAGCTCCTTCACAAACATAGTCTCTCTCTGTGGGCTAACCCTTCCATCATCGTATTGAACTATATCAACAAATTTTACTGTCTTTTCAAGATAAACACTATCACACATAAACTGTGTTTCCTCAGCGTTAGCTTTGATTAAACTTAATGGTTCATCCTCAAGGTCTGTTTTGTCACACTTCTTGAGATCACTTTGTTCATGGAAAATTGTGAGGCTCTGAGTTTGGATTTGTGATTTTGGTTCCTCTGTAGGACTGTGCTCAGGTATCTGTCTCTCTTCAGAATCTTTTGATTCAAATATCAGTGTTGAAGCTGCTTTTGGTCCAAAAAGCACCGCTTTAGTGTTTGAAGGATCTTGCCCAGTCTGGAATGTCTTCATCAGCTCCTTCACAGACATAATCTCCTTCTCAGGTATCTCTTTCTGTGGGCTAACCTTTCCATCCAATTTTACTGTCTTCTTAAAGTAAGCACCATCTGAAATTAACTGTGACTCCTCAGAGTTATCTTTGATGAAACCTCCTGATTGATCCTCTGAGTCTGCTTTGTCACATTCCTTGACATCCCTCTGTTGATGTAAAATTGTGAGGCTCTGAGTTTGGATTTGTGATTCTGGTTCCTGTGGATGACTTTGCTCAGGTTTCTGTATCTCCTCAGAGTCTGCTAATACAGACATCAATGTTGAAATAGAAGAATCAGCCAATGATTTCTTTTCAAGAATCTCTGCTTTAGTTTCTGAAGGATCTTGCCCAGTCTGGAATGTCTTCATCAGCTTCTTCACAGACATAGTCTCCTTCTCAGGTGTCTCTCTCTGTGGGCTAATCCTTCCATCATCGCATTGAACCGTGTCAACAAATTTTACTGTCTTCTTAAAGTAAGCACCATCTGAAATTAACTGTGATTCTTCAGAGTTATCTTTGATTAAACTTGCTGCTTCATCCTCAAAGTCTGTTTTGTCACATTCCTTGACATCACTCTGTTGATGGAAAATTGTGAGGCTCTGAGTTTGGATTTGTGATTCTGGTTCCTGTGGATGGCTTTGCTCAGGTTTCTGTATCTCCTCAGAGTCTGCTGATTCAGATATCGATCTTGAAATACAAGCAGAAGCCACTGATATCGGTTCAAGAATCTCTGCTTTAGTTTCTGAAGAATCTTGCCCAGTCTGAAATGTCTTCATCAGCTCCTTCACAGACATAGTCTCCTTCTCAGGTGTCTCTCTCTGTGGGCTAACCTTTCCATCATCGCGTTGAACCGTATCAACAAATTTTACTGTCTTTTTAAAGTAAGCACCATCTGAAATTAACTGTGACTCCTCAGAGCTATCTTTGATTAAACCTGCTGGTTTATCCCCAAAGTCTGTTGTGTCACATTCCTTGACATCACTTTGCTGATGGAAAATTGTGAGGCTCTGAGTTTGGATTTGTGATTCTGGTTCCTGTGGAAGATTTTGCTCAGGTTTCTGTATCTCCTCAGAGTCTGCTGATTCAGATATCGATGTTGAAATACAAGCAGAAGCCACTGATTTCTGTTCAAGAATCTCTGCTTTAGTTTCTGAAGAATCTTGCCCAGTCTGAAATGTCTTCATCAGCTCCTTCACAGACATAGTCTCCTTCTCAGGTGTCTCTCTCTGTGGGCTAACCTTTCCATCATCACGTTGAAACGTATCAACAAATTTAACTGTCTTTTTAAAGTAAGCACCATCTGAAATTAACTGTGATCCTTCAGAGTTATCTTTGATTAAACCTGCTGGTTTATCCTCAAAGTCTGTTGTGTCACATTCCTTGACATCACTCTGCTGATGGAAAATTGTGAGGGGCTGAGTTTGGATTTGTGATTCTGGTTCCTGGGGAAGATTTTGCTCAGGTTTCTGTATCTCCTCAGAGTCTGCTGATTCAGATATCGATGTTGAAATACAAGCAGAAGCCACTGATTTCTGTTCAAGAATCTCTGCTTTAGTTTCTGAAGAATCTTGCCCAGTCTGGAATGTCTTCATCAGCTTCTTCACAGACATAGTCTCCTTCTCAGGTGTCTCTCTCCGTGGGCTAACCTTTCCATCATCGCGTTGAAACGTATCAACAAATTCAACTGTGTTCTTAAAGTAAGCACCATCTGAAATTAACTGTGATTCCTCAGAGTTATCTTTCATTAAACTTGCTGCTTCATCCTCAAAGTCTGTTTTGTCACATTCCTTGAAATCACTCTGTTGATGGACAATTGTGAGGCTCTGAGTTTGGATTTGTGATTTTGGCTCCTGCGTAGGATGTTGAAATGTTGAAATACTAGAAGAATCCATGGCTTTGTGTTCAAACAGCCCAAATTTACTTTTTGATGGGTCCTGCCCAGTCTGGAATGCTTTCATGAGCTCCTTAACAGACATAGTCTCCTCTAATCTTTCTGTCTGAGATCTGGGAGATTCAGGGGACTTGGGAACTTTGGGAAGTTCTGGCATGTCTTCGTCCGTCCTCTTTGTGGTGATAGAAGATTTTGCCTCATGTATTAGAACTTGATTATTTTTTTGCACCTCATCCTCTTCAACTTTGTTCTGTAAAGCTTTAACTCTGTCTTTTATAGATCCTATAGGTGTTTCAACCACTAAAGGAGAAGCTGGGGGATCCATAACTGTGGTGGGTACAAGGCCACTCTCCTTAAGAACAACATCACCATCTAAAGACTCCTCAGAGCTCATCCTTTCCAGCTCTCCCTCAGAGCTGCTACATCTAGAACGTTCTCTGTCTCTAAGTTTCTTCCTAATAGGTTTCTTGATATCTGGGGGACGCCGTTTGCCATCCCGCTTTACAACAACCTGTTCAAATCTATCTTGGACAAGATCTTCTTGAGAACCACTCATCATTACAGGGCTCTGTTCAAAGTATTCTTCTATGTCCATACTGAGGTGTGAGACCATGTCTGTCATGTCCCTGGCCTCTGTGGCAGATCTACTTGAAGTCCTCCTCTCGATGCAAATCTCCTGTATGACTGGTTCTTCGACAAGGGAATTCCTCATGTCAGCCTCAGTCTCACAGAGTGAACCCCATTTGTCTTTTTTAGCATCAAATCGTTGCACTTCCTGTTTAGTGATGTTTATTCCATCCCTTTGAGTCTCCCCAAACTTTTCCAGCCTGTCTTTGAACTGCTCCACTATGACCAAATGCTCTTCCAACCCTCTAGCTTCAGCTCCCTCTTCATTCATTTGCTCTACAGTCAGAATGACAGACATTCTGACATCCGACATGTCTGAGAGAAGGTCCGGGCTTGCAAGGGTTGCAGGGTCAAGAGGTTGGTTAGTTCTCAGGGAGAATGTCTCAGTTGATTCAGATTCATCATCTTCAATTAAGAAAATCACAACCAAAAAGGGTAAAGAACATAAGGGACAAATGAAGTGGGGAAGAGAGACATCAGAAAACTATGATCAAGACATTGCCATCAAAAATCCATCTTCAGTTCACAGAGTAAGAAGAAGACTGACAGAGCAGAGGATAACGGAGTCTTGAAAAGAAGACCAAAAAGGAGATGACAAAGTGATCCAGAAGAGTTTGGAGGGGAGTAGAGCAGCAACAGCATAAGCAAAGCCAGGAGGAGTAACAAAACAGGTAGAGTATGGGCAAGAATAATGTTCATCTAATTTGTTTGACTGCATATTCAGAAATTTAACACAAAACTGAACCAGAAACGAACAGAGAAACTTACACATGGAACAAAGGGACAGGAAGAAATAGATAACAGACAAACAAAAATTCTCAAGATTGTTGCTGACATGAGGAGTCATGTCTGCCTACAAATTAAAGTATTAAAACAAAGAAAATATAATAAACTTTAAATACAAAATTAACAGGGATTTTAGTAAGAAGAGGTGTAATTAGTAATCAGGTTACTGTCACTAGTTTTGTGTGTGTTTTAAACTTTTGAAAATTACTTACTTCCTTCACTTAACTTTGAAAAATTATATCATATATTATAGTAAAATACTAAAAATGGGCACATTTTATGTTAGATGAAGTGACTGTGGTATCAAAAATCATTGCAAGTTAAAACTTTATTTAATTGTATTATATAGTTCATTTACTTGTTTTGTGACCTTTATTAGATCACATACAAAAAATGAGGTGGTGTAAATTGATGTAAAGTAGAATTGGATTTGATTAATAGTACAACTCAATGAATGAAAGCAACTTAAGAGAGGTGGTAAATGAAGAAGAAATGTGTAAAAATAGCAGTAGCCAAAATGAATGATGATAATAAAAAATAAACCAGCAATAAATGTACACACCTAAGCAAAGAACAAACAACACCATGTTGTTTGTCAATTACTTCTGTATGAAAACAATGAAGTTTTTCAGCATGCAACTGGTAAAACTGTTATGAAATGTAATCTGGGAGAATAATAATTGGTCAAAATGAATACTTCTTATATATCAAGACCACAAACCGTAAATCTTCTTAAGGTAAAATGACATTCTAACACAAATAGATTGAAAATCAAAGCGATTCTGAGTGCATTTGGATAAAAAGTATTAATTTGACCTTCATTTATGATTCATAAAAAACACAAAAGTTCATAGCAATTAGAGAAAATGAAAATGTTAAGGGTGGGAGAAAGTCAGTGGGGTTTGGAGTGAGGGGAATGTGGAGTACATCAGCCATAGCACAGCTGCCAGTAACAAACACGTAACTATACAGTGTTAGTAGAGCAAAATAAGAGAGCAAGGTCAGTCCGAACAGAAAGCAACATACATCAGTCAGTGCATCTCCTTGCACATAACATTTTTCATATTTCTGCCCTTTACAACCTTTATTACCAGTAAATTTTATGTTTCATGTCCAATTTTGACTGTTATTATTGAATAATATATAATTGCATACAAACTATACACTGGTACCCTCACTACCAACACTGACCATTGGAAATGTAAAATGTCTGAAATGCATGGACCTACATCATGCAATTATTTGATCTATTTCAAACAACAGAGTTCAGCTTACATTTCTTGTCACTCTTCTCACTCTGTAGAAAGAAGATCACAAAGGTATCGTTAGCTGCAACCTAAGTATGATATTACTGTTTCTTTGTTCTACTATTGTATGAAGTGAACTTTATTTACCTCATCATCTGCATCTTGGTCTGAATCAGACTCCTAGAGAGAAGAATGCAAATGAGGGAAAGCAAACACTGTAGTTACTGGAAGAAATAATATATTACAGTTACATACACAAACTTAATTCTTTTCAAACTAACCTTTGAGTATGTTGGGAGGGTGATGTTAAGATTGCAGATTGCATTGTGGTTAAGAGTACGGTATGTCCGTGGTTCCTTTGTGAACGACAGGCGACCACATGGCTCCTGTGCTGTGTCTCTTATCTGTACATCAGTGAAACAACAATGCAGCCCATTTATTACATTTCTGAATCGCTGAGTAAATCTGTAGTATTTTGAGACTTTTTTATCCAGTGGGTAGTCATACTTTGATGAAGAGGGCCAGTCTGTTCTCTTTGAAGGCAAAGAAGCTGAACATGTGGTGCTGTCCACTCTTGGTAAGAGGCACCAGGTTTCCAAAGCAGTCAGCAAATATAGGTTTTCCCTCCAGCACCTGCATGTGGATTGACAGTTGTCTTCATGATTCAAACAAACCTTTAATGTCTATTTCCAAAGAGTATTGTGGTTTTTAAAGACATGAGCTGTATGAATTACAACCAGACTCTCTCCTTATATCCTTCTTTCTGTCCATATCAGACCAGACTTGAAGGTGCTTTTGATGGTATATAAGGTTCTGAATGGACTTGCTCCTTCATACCTCTCTGATCTGCTTAAACCTTATACTCCATCTCGTGCTCTCTGTTCCAAGAATTTAGGGCTCTTGTCTGAGTTAAAAAGACGTCTGCTGGTTGCGGAGTCTCAATAAATCAATAAACTCAGTACAGTATAGTCCAGGTTGTCCTGCCGACGAGATCACTGTGAACTTTCTGAAAATCACTGCATCATTCTAACTGTTTTTCCCTCAAGCACATGAGCGCCCAGGCTGTGTGCCTCTCTCTCTTCCTTCTCCTTCCTGCTACTCTCCGCAGGTCCTCCCGCCGCCACAGCTGCAGCTGTAGAGTCTGGATCTGCAACTGCAAACCACCTATGGCCCCCATGATCCTGTTTAACACCTGCTGCTAAACCTGCTAAAATTTACTATCATTAATAATGATAATTATTAATGTTATTAGCTGTCATTACTATTTTATCAGTAGGAGCACTACAGTTGCCATTACATTACTATTGCTGTTACTGCCGCTACTATCACTATTAGTAATATTGTTATCATTGCACATTCTTGTTCTTTTCCTCTCTTGCTCTCTATCTCGCTCTCCCTCTCTCTCTCTCTCTCTCTCCATCTCTCCAACCCAACCAGTCGAGGCAGATGGCCGCCCACCCTGAGACCGGTTCTGCTCAAGGTTTCTGCCTCTTAAGAGTATGTTTTTTTCTTGCCACTGTTGCCTAGTGCTTGCTCTTGGTAGGAATTGTTGGGTCTCTGTAAATAATATTATAAAGAGAAGGTCTAGACCTGCTCTATTTGGAAAGTGCCTTGAGATAACTTATGTTGTGAATACAAATAAAAATTGACTTGACTTGATATCTCTGCACTGTGGCTACAGGCTAATTCAGTATTACTCCCCTCACTTCTCTCCTCACCCCTTTTATATGATCAAGTATCCCCCCCACCATCATCCCATCACACTGCACCTCAACATCCCGGCTGCGGGCAACTTCAGTGAAGTTCTCCTGCTGCTCCAGGGTTTTGTCCATCTTGTCATCTGTCATGCAGAAACACCGGAGGCGGGCCTCAATAGGATCCAGTGTCTTGGCAAAAATTACAAACTTGGCCATGTATGGAACACAGATGATCTCTCTGTACAGCTGAGAGCCAAAGCTAACAGACTCCTGGATCTGTCTGCAGTCTATCAGCCAGAACCTAGGAATATGAGCAAGGCATTTAGTCAGTAAGAGTTTTATATCACAGTATGCTAGGTAGTCATGATATGATGTTTAATCACCTAAAAGAAAGAAAACAAGGATTTTGCAAAGTCCACATTTAAAAATGTAGGGAGGATTTACCTTGCTGACACATTTGTGGTGAAGGAAACACATTGGTTAACAAAGGTGAGAGGTGTGGAGCCGGTGATGTCTTCCCACTGGGCAGGAGTGGTTCCACCTGAAACACAGAAACATGAGCCTACCTGTCACAGGAATTCACTAACTGGTTTGTATTTATAGAAAGGAAAAATTATGACAGGATTCATCTGTGCTTTCCAGGGACGATGAAAAAAGACAGGCATATGACATTACATTAGATGACATTACAGAGGATATTTTTTGACTATCTGTTATCAAACAGCTAGATGTTAGACTCTGACGCATTTATTTTTATATTCTTTGCTTATATGATGGTTAATTATTCCCCATACCTGTAATACTGCAAAGCAAACGCAAAGTGGGGGTCTCCCCACTGTATACTGCACTTGGCCCATCACTGTTGGAGCTCTTGGGAATAGGGATTGTCATGGTGATTGGTTTGTGGAACTTCCTCCTTCTTGGCTCCAATGTGACAATTGGGCTGAATGTGGCTTTATTACCAAGAATCTTTCTCACCACCTCCAAATCAATGGGCTGAGCCTAAAACAATGTACAAAAACCATATTAATGTCACAGCTTTATCAATTCCTTCAACATTTAACATTCCACTGATACGTGTCCGGCCGCAGAGTGCACTGTATGTACCTGTAGCCCAACTCTGATTTTCTTGGTGAGGGCTCCTTCAGGGAAAACAGCTTGGACCTGGGGCACAAGGGTGCTGCTAAGAACCCCACCCTCTGGTCCAATCAAATGACTGTCTTGCTTTATCCGTGACACCACTGCAAAATACTGTGGGAAGTCTCGGGTGATGATGCGGCATATTCTTTTCTTCTCAAGCTCCTCTGGAGAATCAAGTTCTGTGAAGATGAGAAACACTCAGTATAAGTATCCTATGAGTGGCTCATTGTGTGAGGTGTGGAGAATGAGAGTTTAAAATGGAACAATATTTCAGTCCTCTACTTTTTTGTGCTTCCCATTGTTAACACAGTATTAATCTATAAGGAAACTCTGTTCTAACTCATTTCTCTCTGGCCTGTGTTGTGCCTTAATGTGATCATATTTAGGCTTCAAGTTTCTGTGCTGTAGTGTTTTCATGTATTGTCTGAATCAAAAATGTTGTGATGTGACATTTGAACCCCCTATCAACAATTGTTGTTTGGCATCACAGTCCAGTTAAGATCCCTTACTTTCATCCATGCCATTAAGTATCTGGTTCAGTTCTTCTTCGGTGAAGTCACAGTGGTGTTCCCTCCAGCTCTCCCCTGTCTCACTCCTTAAGATCACCAACTCTCTCTCTGTGCCCCGCAGTGCTGCAAAATGGGGGATCTCCACAATCACAGGCCTAAAAGGGGTGATAGGCTAAAGTCAAACATAAATTGGACTCAAAAGAATGTGGTAACAGTTTGGCAGAGCTTGGACTTTAACAGAGTCAATATAATGTTTGGGTTGATTTTTGCATGATCTTATTAAAAAAAAAGAAGAAAAAAAAGAAAAAAGACACAAAACAGAAAGATCAGGATGATGTCATGCTTGGCAAAAACAAACATTAATTGAAAAAGTAAATAGAACAATGTTTAAACATAGAGAGAAACTTCCATTCCACATCAGCAACAACATCTAACTAGAAACAAGTCTGGGGATTGGCACTGGAGACTGGAGGAAAGCATGGAGATAACTCATAAAAATAAGGAAAAGGGTAAGGTGGTTTCAGACTAAAGCTTGTAATTTAGAAGTACCAAGAAATAAAGGAAGTGACAAAATAAAAACAAAAAAGAGTCACTCATAACAGCCTATCATGGAAAACTCAAAAAATTATAGTTTTAGGTAGACGCAGTGGAAAAAATATGGGGGAGCAAGTGACCAGGATTCCAGATTGATAGGGCGTCCCCCACCCATGGTCCTACCCGAGGAACTTGGTTCCTGGAGGACCCAGCTGCAGGATGCGACTGACCAGGCTCTCGCCCTCATTCAGAGGGGGCGGAGCTGTGGGAAGGTGGAGCTTACTGATCCGTACGCAGCACAGAGGGGGAGTGAAGAAGAAATTATGAACACACCACACAACTGTGTAAACACAACCACACAAGCAAAAACACACACACTCAAACACACACTTACCCCAGGAACTGTGCTCCAGTGGGTCCTACTTCTATGATGCGACCAGCCAGCCCCTCACCCTCCACCATTGGGGGCATAGAGGCCAGACGGTGTCTCTTCACCAGCCTGCATGTCACCCGCGTAGGTGCAGAACACTTCCTTGGTGGTACAATGATTCGCAGGCCATTGTGACGGCAACCGCGCATGGCCCCGCCCCTGGCATCTACCATGAAGCTGACCAGGAAGCTACAGAAAATGGCCCAGCAATGGATAAAGTGGTTGTTAAAGAACCATGCAAACGAAGTCAAACCGAATCACAGAAGGAGCTACTTTTAAGAAATCAGTCAGTAAAACAAAAAGCGGGTCTCAGTAGATAATATTTCATTCCAGCCTGTTGTAATTCATTGTTTTCAATCCTTTCCAGATTCATTCCACTTGAAATTTAACTTGCAAGACAGATGAGGAGGGCACTGAACAAGATTCTTTCTTGAGGATCTTATGTGCCAAGGAGCAAATAAGTATGAATAATGATTCAAATATTATTTGTCATCATACAGGCAAATGCTTAAAGTTATACTTACATTTTCTATATATGAAATGTTAACACATGTTAACTGAAAGATGTCCATAGTCAAACTGAAATCCCAGTATGGGAGCTGATCAGGACACGGAGTAGAGTACTATCAGATCTATTAAAGGAAAAGGTTGGCAATATTCTGTATTCTTCTTATTGTGATCAAACCCCATTAAAAAAAACACCAGAATTTAAACTGAATTGATCCAACAAGTATAATCTGTGTAGCCAAAGCCTGTATTAGTTTATTGCTCTGTGTTGTAGATCTACACTTAACAAATTAATGAGCTATACTGTTGCACTGGGCGACATCTGACTTCACTGTGCTGAAAAAGAGCATTGCAGTTTATTGAGTCAGTCCCACATATGCCATTCTGGCCCTGTAAATATCCACTAGTGGACAAAACATATTTTAATCCACTGCTGAAACGAGTCTTTTTTTTTTTTTTTCTTAAAAAGGAGCTTTATATTTGATACCAGTTTTTAAACATTATTGTCTTCATGAGGAACATATAGGCTTGGAGCATGGAGGAGGTTGGAAAGTATTTACAGAAGTAATACCACGTTATGGATTTAGAATTTTTTATGGGATTTGTTGGCAATAAGAAAAATATTGAATCCCGGCCTTATTCTTTAAGGGCCATCAAATTCGGACCCAGCTGTCATAAAAGCCCAACTGTGTTATGTTAAAAGACTATAACCTATTCTCAGCATACAGTGCTGTTATATTAGATAGAATAATATAAATAGTATCCCAGTTCTATGTATCAGCAGATCCTCAAGATTTAAGGAGTCAGATCTGCATCAAGGATAAAAACCTTGGATGGAACATCTCTAGTTAACAAAACCTGAATCAGGGAAAAATGTAAAGTCATGCATTATGAAATCATGCAGACAGATAGGATGTTGAATGAATGGGTCATTTAGTAGTGGATGAGAAAGAAAGTAAAGGCACAGAGAAGAGAAGACAAAGAGAGTAGCCAAAATAAAGAGTATCACCTGCTGTTGTCATTGTCTAGGCACGGAGAGGAACGGCTAGAAGCAAAATACAACAACACACACACACACACACACACGGACAATCACAACACAGCCAAGACAAGAGGGTGCACAAAAAGGCAACAAGAGAATAAACAAAAACAGAATAAAGAATGAGTAAAAGTGAGGAAAAACTTGACCATAGACAGAAAAAGACACAGAAGCAAAGATAAAAGAAAGAAGGAGAATAGAAAACACAGACGTGAAGGAGTGAAAAATAAGGTAACACTTTATTTGGATAGTCCACTTACAGAGAGTTTACAGAGTATTTGTAACATTTCCCTAAACAATTACAAACAATCAACCATTTACTGGTTAGGGTTATGGTTAGCAAAGTAGATGAATTGTTGAATCTCAACTAATAACTTTTTGAAAAGTTACAAATGCTCTGTAAATTCTCTGTAAGGAGACTATCCAAATAAAGTGTAACCAAAACTAAAAAAAATTGATTCACAGGTGACTCATACACTCCTGATAATGAACAATAGCATGTGAAAGATGGAGTCTTCGTTTCAAGAATAAATTAATATCCTTCGTGTCACTTTTACTCCATGAAGTAGTGTGAACATGTGTGTAATTTTGTGTGTGTTTGTGTGTGAGAGAGAAATGGAGGTCTATACCCAGAGTGTAGCAGACTGGTGGACAACACCACATTATCAAGGTGCTCAGCACCCCAGCTCAGACGGAAGGATTCCTTGTCGTGCTCTCGAGACAGTGCTGACACCTACAAACCAACAAACAACAGTCATTCAGAAAATAAATATATTATATATAAAAAATTCTCTAAACTAAAGATACGTTAAAGAGGGTTATCAGAGGTTAGCTAACTCAACAAAATCACAACCAGACAATATGAGTAGTGCACCGTTAATATGTTTTATCCTCACCTGGTGGCTTGTAAGCATGTCTTCAATGAGAACTCCTTCTCTCTGATGGAAACTTTGGTGAGTGGGAGTGTGCTGCTGCCTGTTGGAAAGCACGGCAGATTTTTCTTTTTTAGTGTCCTTGTATGTATCTATTGATTTGTCTGTTGTGATATGTCATCACCCAGTTCACACGTGTTGTCATTTATGAAGTTAGATGTATGATTAAACTTTTTGTTAAGTGTGTGTAAATGTGTGTGATGTTTGTGACCTGTCCAGGTTGTGGGTCATGTAGCTGAGGCCTTCCAGGTAGTGTCCTGGAAGAGAGTCATCTCCCAGCTCTCTGAGATCCTCTGCTCTCAGATACTCCCCACCATCACCTGTCATAGTGTCCTCACCTGGGAAACAAAGATGTGCAATTTGAGATATAGTATACAAAAAATTTAGGGCTGCATTTATTTAAATGGGACCACAATCCTGCTGCTATTTCTTTCTAGGTCAGATCAATGAACCGTGTGAGGACTTCCTGTCTGGGGACTGTCACCAACTTTGCAACATGCTAGCTGCAATTTGCAAAATTTTCTCCTTGCTCATTTTGACATGTTTCACTCATCAGAACAAACACCGTACTTGTGTAAGTATGGTGTAACATCAAGTGCATTCCTCAATCATCCATAACCATCACTACTGTCATGATCATATCCACATCCCCATCAGTTCATGCAGTTTGTTTCCATCATTGCATTAAAACACAATCAACAAAGCTGTGATTATACCCTATAAACAAAAAGGTGTTAGATCAAGAAGGGTTTGCTTATGTAAAATCAGGCAGATGTAGCTGCACAACAACAACAAAACTCATGGGTTGTCAAGAGGCAGACAACCTGGGGGTTTACAAAGTTGAGTGTAAAAGGCTGGGAAGAAAACTCTCAAAATTAATTGTTTTAGCAAAAACGTAATTAAGACTACCAATGTAATCACACCATTACAAGAACACAAATATGGTCCACACCAAGCTGACAGAGCAGGGCAGACATTTTGCAGTACCTTCCAGCTTCACAGACATCTCAAATAATGGCTCATCCTCCAGCCTTAGAGCTATGAAATACACAACTTTAGCATCAACAACTACACAAAATATCTCACAGTATCTGACTCAAACTTAAAAGTATTTGCACATTTGTTTGCTAGTAAAACAATGAGTGTGATGTGGAGAAATAAAATTGGATATTTTTGATCTGGATCTTGCTTGTTCTGTTCAGAGTAACTCACCCTCTTCATCGGAAACATCAAGGATCTCAGTCATGGTCTCAGGGACGTTGAGCTTGTGTTTCTCTGTGACCGTCTGATGTGTCATCCATTTAAAGTCATGGAAAAATAGAAAGAGAACAGAGACATTTTAACTGGGTTTTGTGGGAAATGTAAGGCAAAACGAAGTGGTCCAAAATCGGCAGGCCTAAAGGTATCACACATGGAGTTTACCGTTGTGGTAGTGACGATCTCCTCGGTGACGACTTTCAGTGTGTCCACCACGGAGATGTAACCCAGACGTTTAGCAATCGACAGAGCAGTGTTTCCATTCTAACAGAAAGAAGGGCACAAGGTTTGTGTGATTCCATGTTCACAAAAACTTTTTATGTTCATAAGAGTAAAGTTGATTTTTTTTTTCTTCCTTACCACTGTAGTAGCATTAGGCTTGGCTCCATGTTGCAGCAAAACATTGATTATGTGTGTGTTCCCTTGTTGTGCCGCCTGGTGAAGTGGTGTGTAACCATTCTGTACAACAAAATAAAGAAGATTTTGTGTGGCCAATACAAAAACTAAAATGTATTGTATTTTGTCTTGTCCTTGTGTTTGCAGATGTAACTGAGCAGATTTGACATTTGAAATCTACCTTGGTTTTAGCGTTGACGCTGGCACCTTGCTGCAACAGGAAGTTCACCATCTTGGCATTTCCATAGTGACAAGCCACGATCAGAGGGCTATATCCCAGCTGAAGTGTAGAGAGGATTAGAGGATGATGTAGAGACAAAACAGTTATTTCCAAACTTGTCTGATTTGTTTTACTTGTTTGCTGTGATAATTTAGGAGCGGGTATACCTTTAAAATAAATCATCTTAAAAACAAAGGTAAGTAAGCTTACTTCATACTGTAGATACAAAACCTGCTGAATGATGTCACCGTATAATGTAGAAAGTGCTATGCTTCTCAAAAGCCAGTAGGAGGCAGATATGCTAAATTTGTGTGTGTTAGTCACATTTAAAAAGCAGCTGGCAAACACAGACTACAGCAGTGAATACACAGAGTAAGATTCATCATTCGCCTGAGGAAATTCTTGCTGAATAATTTGTGTAGCACACTACGGTCTTCTAAGAATGCACCACAAAATTAAATAAATTCCTTATCTTCGATGGAGTCTCCACCTCCCCAGTTTTTGACTGCGTATGATTTTTTAAAATTGTGTTTGTGTGTACTGCATGTATGTGTGTGCTTGTACCTTAGTTTGCTGATCCAAGTTGGCGTCATGTTTGGCCAGGACTTCTGCTGCATTGACCCTGTCTTCTTGGGCTGTGAGATGCAGAGCAGTCAATCCACTCTGTAACACACAAAGCGCACAGTTGTCCACCTGTTTATATTATACATGTGAACCTGTAACCAAATCCCTGTAGCTTATTCTGTATGGTTGCTTTGCATTTGGATATATTATAGCAATAATACTGTATGTTTCTTTCCTGGTGAAAATGTGCGAACTGACATTGCTCCTTGCACCGTTAGTAATAGATACAGCATCTGAACTACATCAAAACAAGTGTATGACAGTATTAAATTGTGTCTGTGTTCATGTATGACCTTGGTGGCTGTGTTGACGTGAGCTCCTTTGCCCAGCAGCAGGCTGGCCATCTCAGCATGTCCTTCCTGGGCTGCCAGGTGTAGAGGGCTAACTCCCTGCTTGGTTAGAACGTTGGTCTCTGCTCCGTACTGCAGCAGAGCTGCTGCAATGCTCGTCTGATTCTTTTTGGCTGCAATGTGGAGAGGAGTGTAGCCGTTCTGCACAGGGAGGAAGGTTAGCAGTTAAATACTGTGATAACACCTATCCAAAAAAAACAAAAAAAACAACGGCTTCTCAGCATCACTCTCACTCTCTCATTATGTCACCACTACTTTAATGTAACACTCTCAACAAGAAAATATTATTTTCCCAGGGTTGAATAAGTTGAAGTAGGTTGAAGGAAACCGGTTATCGGGAAGTAAACAGCAGTGCTTGATCACGGAAAAACTGCTGTAGCAGAATGCGTCACATATAAACAACAGTGTGAGAGTGTATGAAGTACTTCTCATGCTTGGTCAAACCTTTGCAGTAGCATGAGGTGATGCCCCTTTATCCAGCAGTAGCAAAGCTACTTCTTGGTTGTCATAATGAGCTGCCACATGTAGAGGAGTTAGGCCATTCTGTAAGAGGAAGCACATGATTACAGGTGTGTACAGTGTGCTTTCATCATTCATCTTCCTGCTTCCAAACTGTTCTGTTCTTCCCTGTAATTCATCTGTTTGAGAGTGCGCAGTGTGTCTCACTGAAATGAATAGCATTATCCTGAAATAATATACAGTATGTGCAGTATCTTCAGCTCACCTTTCCAGCATCATCGGGTAGAGCTTTGCGTTGAAGGAGAAGTTTTGCTACGTCGAGGCTTCCATACTTTGCTGCTACATGTAATGGAGTGAATCCTTTCTGTAGAGGGAAAAAGGGAGACAAAGGTTATTTCAAACCTACATGTCCAAACTGTTTTGGACTGTTTTCTGCTTCTCTCTGTCTCTATATGCATCACATCTTATCCTCTGCTCACCTTGGTGGCCATTGAGTGTGAAGCTCCGGCCTCCAGCAGCACAGCAGCAGTCTCTACCTGGCCCTCCCTGGCTGAAATGTGGAGGGGAGTGTACCCGTTGGTGGTGGCAGCATCTGGGTAGGCCATGTGCTGCAGCAGCAACTGGACTATATCTGTTTTCCCCAATCGGGATGCAATGTGGAGGGGAGTCTGATCCTCCTGTGGATGAAGGATGAAACAATTGTACACGTTTGAGTTACGAGGGAAAACAGGAAAGAAATAAAAAGCGCAAAAGGAGGCAGAGGTTGTGGATTTAGAAAAAAGCTGACATGTAGTAGCTAGTATCCAGTGGATGAAATATGTTCATTTATTATTAACAGGAGGAAACTCTGATGATGCGTTTGCTAACTCACCCTGGCCATGGCATCCACCAACGCTCCATTTCTCAGCAAACAGCGAACCACTTCCATCTGACCTGCTCGTGCCGCCATGTGGAGAGCTGTCTCGCCGCGCTGGTAAGCAAAGACGGAACATTTATGAGCAGCAGCTGCCAGGTGGCCGCACTATGAAAACTGATACTTGAAAAATGCATGCTTACTTATGTGACATATGTATTTCTGACCACTGACTGTTGAGCAAATACAAATAAACTGTCAAATCCCTACTCACAATGTTACGGACATCAGGAGAGGCTCCATTCTGCAGCAGAAGGAGAACAATGCTGAGGTGACCCATGAAGGCAGATACATGGATGGGAGTCAGGCCAGACTAGAATAAGAAAGAAGAAACGGAACAGAGAGGATGAGTATTAAATGCAAAGGGAAACAGAAGCATGTATTGTATGTGTATTGACAGATGCTATTCTGAGACATTCCCACAAAAAAATAATCTCACCTCAGTAATGGCCTGGATGGAGGCGCCATATTTGACCAACAGTTCCATCACCTTCACTCTGTTCTTCTTACAAGCGATGTGGAGGGGCGTGAAGCCATTCTGGTAAAGAGAGTGGGTGAAAAATAAATAGGTATATACTAAATGCCTGTATGATCTACAGCAATGGGAGTACATTTATTTTTCAAACTTTTCAGGAGCACGTTTATGGACTATGTACTACTGACATTCTGGTGAGTAATAAATTAATTTATGTGACTTTTTTCCACTGGTGACAAATTGCCGCCATTTTTCCAGAAGAAAATGGTGCTGTTTTCCTTCTGTATGTTGTCAAGCAGTTCATCTCTTATACTCTTATACTTGTTTGTCTTTTTCCTAACTATCAGAGTTTCTTTCCATGTTAAGTCTCTGTATGGACAGTACTGTTTGTCACTCTTGTCTGCAAATGTTTATATGCTGGTGTATACCTGCGTGTGTGTGAGTCTGTGTGACGCCTATTTTTGTGCTTGTACAGTTGTTACTTCCTCTGAATGCCTACCAGTGCTCTGGCATTGGGATTGGCCTTCTTGTCTAGCAGCAGCTTGGTGACTCTGTAGTGGCCACAGTGTGCTGCGACATGCAGCGCTGTGAGGTAGTCCAGTGTGACATCATCAACAGGCGCCTTGTGCTGCAGCAGGAATTTAACACACTCGATGTGGTCTCCCTGGGCCGACATGTGCAGTGGGGACAGTCCGTTCTGTTTGGATACATGGACAGATGCCAAAGGTCAGAAAAATAATACAAGGAAGAAAGAGGAGGGCAGAGAAGAGAACCAATAAGGAGGAAAACTGAAACTAATAACACATTGAAAATATAATTGTAGGAAAGTGGTGCTGGCACAGCCGTACAATACCTTGGTTCTGGCTAAGATGGGGGCTCCTCTCTCCAGCAGCAGCTCCACTGCAGGATCATGTCCACTCCTGGCTGCACAGTGCAGGGGGGTCAACCCATCCTGGGAGACAATCACACATGCACAGAATCACACAAATACATAAATATACACAAACTATAGATATGAATCCACTTTGTCTGTTTTGACAAAAGAGGTCATTGACAAGCAGTGAGTATACTCTATTAAGCAGTCTCTACAGGGTAGTTCATAGTTACAGAAATTATCACAGTTTAATGAAATCTCATGTCCAGACTTTGAATAAGAGTCTCACCCTGGTTTTAGCATCTATTTGGCCCCCTCGGTCCAACAGTAGGGCCACCATGTTGGTGTTGCCTCTCTTGGAGGCCACATGGAGAGGAGTTATCCCATTCTGACAAAGCAGTCAAAGAAAAGAAAGGAAGGTTTACTGCAATGTACATATTCACATTCACAAAAATATATTTCATGGTTGTGACTAACTGCAAATCTCATTCTAATTCACATTACATATTTTTTTTTATTGTTTCTGTTGAATTAAATGCAATAATAGAAAGTTAGATCACTAACTACCCAACTGCATTTAAAGAAACTAATTTTGTGCACCAGACTCGGGAAGGCTATTTATCTGAAAACATGCAGGAAGAAGTGCAACGTTTCAAAGGCTGCAGAGAAATGCAGTTAGTAAAGGCTTAGATTAGGAAGTTATGAGGAAAGTTATGATGGACAATAGCAAACACACTGTTCAGCAAACACACGTCAGGTTTTAAAAGACAGCGGTTGAGAAAGTGTCTTGATTTGCTAAGAAGTGGAGATGGGGCGCTACCCTGGCTGTGAAGTCCACAGCTGCTCCTCTGTTCAGCAACAGGGTGGAGACATTCACGTTACCATAGTGAGCCGCGATGTGCAGAGGGGTGAACCCACTCTGTTTGAGACAGACAAGGAGAGAGGTTGGAGGAAGAGGGTGAGAAGGAAAGAAGCAGAGGTTGAAGGACACAAAAAAGGAAGAAACACAAGATCGATTGGAACAGCAGGTGAGGAAAAAGGAGGACACTTGCAAAAGAAGAGCAACGTAATACGAAATGAGAAGAAAGAAAGAAAGAAAGAAAGAAAGAAAGAACGAAAGAACGAAAGAACGAAAGAAAGAAAGAAAGAAAGAACGAAAGAAAGAAAGAAAGAAAGAAAGAAAGAACAAAGAACGAAAGAAAGAAAGAAAGAAAGAACGAAAGAAAGAAAATAAGAAAGAAAGAAAGAAAGAAAGAAAGAAAGAAAGTAAGAAAGAAAGACAGACCAGATTTTTCTGCAGATACAGAAAAGAAACCTGACTGCTGAAGCAGTATTATGATGAGGCTGCATGCTGAAAAAAGAAACCAGATACTGTAAGAAGCATAAAAATTAGCATACCCGAAAATAGCACATGCAATACATAATGCATGCAACCCTGTAATTCTGCCATGCTCGCTAGGAAAAACCCACAACAAATGGCGAAAAAAAATTGAAGCACAAAGGTCAAAGGTCAAAATAAGACATTAAAACCCAAAACTCAAATACACAAAGCAACTATGTGTATCTGCTTGGACAGACAAATGGACATTTATATATAAGCAGTATATATAAATATCTACAGTACACAGTTTTAGGTGGGTTCAATCCTTACCTTCCCATTCTGATAGACATGGTGCAATTTAATTAAAAAACAGAGTTAACTTAAAGATCGAGGTGTTTCAGAGAGGAAAAACAATGACATTAACATGCTCAGAAGTACACATGCTGTAGGTTAAACTTAGAAAAAGAGCAATAAATGAGGATGTGAAACTGTCAGAAAGTAAGTACGTATAGAAATATGTAATGCTAATACATTTTAAAGAATCATTTTATAACTTTAAAAATAAAAAAGAGAAAGAAAGTAAAGTAAAACAAATAATCTGCACTTAAATGCAATAATCTAACATACTCTGGGATCTATTAATACAACACAGTGTTTTACTGTCAGCCATGCAGGAGTGTGTATTACAGCGTAGTTAGCTGCATGCATTCATTTCAATGGCACATAATTCTGACATGCAGGATTTTACAACTCTCAATTAAATTAGGGAAAGATCAGGACAAAAGAGCTGAAAGAGATGGTCAGAAGTGAGAAGTAGGAAACAAGTTGATAGGTGATGAGTCTGTATACCTCTGTGGTTCTATTGACCATCATCTGGTTAGAACGCATAGGGAGAGAAAGGGGAAATAGGGAGTTGGGTTGTTAGGGAAAGGGCTTATCACAACATTCATATAAAACACAGGGTAAGTTTACAAGGTCACACAAATAGAAAATAAAATGCAATGACAAGGAAGTGAACAAAAAAGAAAGGCTCTTTCAATGAATATAATCATATTTCTAAATGGACACACACACAATCGATAAAATGAATAAACCTGTCAACATGAAAATTTATCTATTCAGTCAGATGCATTATCTCATACTGTCTGGCACCTCCCTACATGCTTCCCTCCAGTTCTCCTTCCCTCTCCAATTTTGCAATTATACTCACTCACCTTAGACTGGACGTCAGCGTTGTGGTCGTTCTGGAGCAGCAGTGCGGCAGACTTTGTGTCGTCTTTGCGGGCTGCGATGTGCAGGGCCGGTAGTCGAACCTTACCCTTGGTGTCGTGCTCCAACAGCAGGGAGACCACTGAGTTGTGACCCTGCTGGAGAGCGATGGCCAGCGGAGTGAAGCCATCCTGGATGAGCGGAGACGAGGAAGACAAGAAGAAGACTCCGATTAATTTAGAGAAAATGAAAAGAAAATGTTTATAAGTGTATTCATTCCATACAAACCAACCTCTGTTGCAATGCTTTGGTTCCCTTCATTTTCCAGAAGGTATCTCACCACCTCCAAGTGACTCTCCTGGGCTGCCATGTAGAGTGGAGTGAAGCCATTCTGTAGGGACAATTAATATATACACAAACAATTTAAGTGAAGATCAGAATCTTAGTGCTACACACTTTCATACAGTATAACACTGCATATTTTTACTGAAAAAGCTTCTCACCTGTGACTGAGAATTGACATCTGCTCCTCTCTTCACCAGTAGTCGAACTACTTCTCTTTGTCCCGCCAATGAGGCAATGTGGAGGGCAGTGTTTCCTTTCTGCACAGAGTAAAAACATAAAGTATGTTATGTGTCTTTGTGCCTATCCTGTGTGGTTACAGATACCTTAAAAATTCTGACCTGGCTGAAAGAGATAGAGTATAAAAAGATGCGACAGATATAGAAAACTCTGATGTGAACACTGCCTTCCTTGAAAACCCAATTCTGCAAATTGATAACACACAAATGTTTTGCTCTTGCTTCTATTTTTTATTTTAATGATGAGGAGGCTGTTGACTGAAGGATCATATTGATGTCAATCCAAGGACATGGGCAGGAAGGGCGAAAGATTCCTTGCCAGCTGTTTACTGTTGCTAGCTGTTAAACCTGATGCACTGCCCCCCCCCCCCACTGAAAAAAATAAATTACCTATTTATGATGTAATCATGAATCCAACTCTTTCAAAGTTAAAGAGACAAATTTCCCATAATCTCACTGTAAATGTAAAAAGTAATCCATCTAGAAGACTCTTATCACATGACTCCCTCCCTCTGAAACCACCCTCATATCCACCACCACCCTCGTGTATCAGGTTTCAAAGCTGAAGACAGACGCACTGATTTACCCAGTACTTCACAACTGATACCACTATATATTACGTTTCTCTTTTTGTCTATCTGTTACCCAGCTATAACTCTCCCCCTCCCTCCTCTCTTTTTTCCCCGCATATCTTCCCCCTAGTGGGGCTAAAGATAAAACTGTGCCGTGCTCATATCTGGAAGGTTGATACAGCATAACAGAAACACGAATACGTGTGCGCACCTTTGTGGACGAGTCAACAGGTGCCCCTCTCTCCAACAGTTCCTCTACTAAATCTTTGTGTCCCTCCTTAGCTGCCAGATGTAATGCATTCAAACCATTCTGGAAAGAAAACAAACAGAAAACATAGACATAAGATTTCAAGAAAACAAATGTGGTAAAGTGATTATTACATAACTGATATGACATACATTGATCCCCAGACCACACAGTTTGGGCAATACCTGCATTACACATTATAAGAGGCAGAGTATACAGACAACTGCACAATCCATTGAATCTGTTGAAAATACAATATTCCTGCACTAAATGCATACTTAGACTATATGTCTTGATTAAAGTTCATAGTGAGTTATGAGGCAATATTCCAAGCTGTTGTTATTGCATTATATTGTACATGTATTTGTATTATTGCATCCACTCTCTGAACATAAACACAATCTTTCATGTAGTGGAAATATTTGCTCAAACAATATTAGAATCAGGAAAAAAAAGAAGTAAAATGTGAAAATGAACATCACATGGCGATAAAAGGAATTCTAACAGTGGGGCAATTTACAGTTTAAAAAAATATCAATTAAAAAAAGAAGAAGTGCGGTATCTGTCTAAGAAAACATGGCTGATTTTCTCCTCACACGGGTTGGATGTGAGCGTTACAGCAACAGCCTGATCCATCAACCAGAGCTACAGGTCAGCAGCAGCAGCACAGGAGGAGGAAAGGAGCATGTAAATGTTTCACTCTGACATGCAATTACAACATAACTGATATATTTATACAACGCACGCATGAACATGTTTCCTCTGAGACAGACATATATAAACACAAAGAAGAATGATTCACCTCATCCTCCTCTTCTTCCATTCTGCGCTGTGTCTCTCTGAAACCCGCAAACTAGGAGAGTGTTTCAAACCGCGACCTTGTTTTTATCCTCTCTGCTCCTTTTTTTCAAACCAAATGTTAGACTCTCTCTCCTTCTTCTTTCCTTTCTGCACTTTCTGTTCCTTCGTAAATCTGTCTTTGCTCTTTTCTATCTTTTGCCTTCTTAAATGCTGGACCAAGCTGGATTTAGAAGTGATGGAGCACCAGCTATCAGCGCAGGTCCTCTGCCTCCTTCCACCACTGCCCTGGTTGGGAACTCAAGATTCTGAGTCTCTGCCTTCTCCTCCTTCCTTGCAAGCTCTCTGAGATGAGTTAGAGAGGAACTGTGGATCCTGACTTTGGAGGAACTGCTAACACCTCTATCATTGCCCCTTTCTTTCCCTCGTGCACTTACAACACACACACACTCTCACTCTCTCTCTCTCTCTCTCTCTCTCACTCTCTCTCTCTCTCTCTCTCTTTCTCACTCTCTCTTCCTCTCTGACTTGCCAAATGCCAAACAGTCAAAGGGGTATCATGTTTCTGCACAGTCATAGAGGGTATGTGGGACATAAACACACACACACAAACATGGATAGTCATATATAGAAGCTACTGAAAATGTCAACCTTTCAAAAAGAAAAAAAGAGGGCATTCCTCAGAGGCTAAAGTATGTAAGTGAGCGTCCAGGCAAGTGAGTGACTGTGTCCAAGATAGTCCGAGATGACATGACTTTAAAAGGGTAAAAGTGAGAGCCACCATCATTTTCTGTCTATGTACTAGAATAAAATGCTTAGAAAGGCATAGATTTCTTTATGTGCACAAGGTTCCTAATGAGCACTCAGTGGAGAATTTGCAAAACTTTTTTGGCAAGGCATAATTGGCCTCCTATTGATTGATTGATGGCCCTTTGATTTCATGCTAAATTGTTCTTGACCAAATCTGAGTCAGCAAGAAGTCATCTGAAGAACTATTGCAATTTATCTATTCTTATACCTCTACACATCAGCTTTACATCTGCATTGCAGTTACATCACTGACTAGGGCTGCAATAAACAATTATTTTTATTATCAATCACTCTTTTGAATATCATATTTAATCGATTGATTGATCATTTAGTATATTAATTGTCAGAGAATTGTGAAAAATGGCTATCATCATTTCGTGATAACTGACTTTTACAATGAGTCGGTTGTTAATCGGTTAATAGTTTAAGCACTATCATGAACATCATTATCATCATCATCACCACAGTCATTGGGTGATGGGTGTGGTCACACTGAGCTGGAAATGCTCGCCACACTTTGCTACGGACAAATGTTTATCGTGTTTGTCAGGTTGCACCGTCGATGCTTCTGAAGTCATCACGTCAGTAAATCACTCAGTCAGTCAGTGACATTTCCGCTGCAGTGCCAAAACACAAGATGAAACCACTTCCAAATGTGCTAATAGATGCTCTTTGCTGCAGTCTGAACATGCGGAAAGTTGAGTTTCACCTTTACACGTCTGTTCTGAAATGGTGAACTCAACTGACACAGCAACAATTACGCAATCTTATTAGAGTGTTTCAATCACATTTAAACTATTATGTACTCCAAAAGACACAAGTAAAACCCACAACAGACACACACATATACACACACTGTCATGCAAACTGATCTAAATCTCCTTTTCCTCTGAGCTGTAAGTGAAAGCTTCATTTAGCTAATGGACGTTCAGCCCTACAGGCAGTTTGTAGCTCCCCCTGGCAGGAGGGAGACTGTTGAGCTCTGTCCAGTGCAGATAAATAGTCATGCCTCTATGACCGCTGACCTTTGTTATAATCACAGATGGTAATAAAAATGTCAGAAAAGTGTCAAAGAGGATAAATGGCGGAGGGGAAAAAAAAAAAGGAAATAATGTAAATGCAGATTAAAAAGCAATATCACTCACCAAGGATTAACATTTGAGTAGATTAGAGGGGAAGTCCTTTAATTTTGAGGACATGGAAACAAAAAAGCTCACATACAAAAGCACAGACTGGCGACACACACACACACAACATTTTTTCTTCCTCACACACAGATCAGTCTACTGTCTTCCCTCTGCAATTCTAAAGTAAACAGATCTTATATACACAGACAAAAAGATGCTTGTGTGTTCAAAAAGTCACACTGTGAGAACTGGGGGATAAAGCTGTCTGTCTCATTCACAAAATCAGTGAAATAGAGAAGGACAGTTTGACTGTGGACTTGGAAGACAGGGGATATATATCTCTCTCTTTAACTGACTTGGACAGCCTTCTGCCCTTGGCGCCAGACTCTGGCCCTCACCACACTGTTGCTGCTTTCTAGGATCTGACTCTTCAGTTATTAATGAACACACACCCCAGGGCAGCACTCAAAATTGCTGCGTGACGTTCCAGCGTCTCCCTCGTACTTGCAGATGTACAGACTGAGTAAAATTAAGAAGCCACTGATGATGTAAGTCATTCATTTTAAGATGCATTTCATGGATCATGTCTAATAACATCATCATTTATATTGCTGACATACTGCAAAGCACTCTTACAATTGTGAAAATAGAATGTTATTCTCACATGATTTGTGTTATTACCAACAGTGTTAATTTTATCCAAGTGATAACTCTGTGCTGACATAGCTGACTAACTTACACAAATACAATTTGTGGTCAAATACAAACATATAGCTTCCTTATTTTTAAAGTCACTACAAATTAGCCAGACCGCAGATTTTAGATTAATATTATTTCATGTCTGTTGATGCTCTTATCATTAGAGCAATGACTCTACTGACTGCAATACTGACAGCACTGTTACAGATAATGGCTCTGTAATTTGTGTGGAGTGCTTTTCCACTGACGTGATTCTCATGCACTCATTTCCTTGAGAGCAATTTTGCTGCTAATCATGAGCAACGTGATACTTTTGAATGATCATCTGGGCCTTCTCTAATTGTGGTGTTTGTGTAAACTGGTACCTCCTTGAAATATCATTAAGGCATCATATCTGGATACATTTCAATTACCACTGTTTGGATGGCTATACTGTATCACTGTGTGGTGTGTTTGCAACTGACTGGCAGCATCACTGGTAAAAGTACATTAATTCCATGCTAGTAAATGCAATAACGCACATTCACCAGAGAGTTACATTGGTGATGCTTGTTTTAATTTGTCTACACACTAAATATCCGTCCTCTGGAAGAGGCACATTAGCTCTAGCTTTAAACAGCTTATGACAATGGAGTCCCAAACCTATGACCATGAAAACACAGAAGTCTAAACAGCTGGTGATGAATGGTGGTGGCACACAGTATCACTGTCTGTCACAGTCAGCCAAACCACCTATCAAAGTACAGCACATGCCTGAAGGAGGAATAAAATACTGGACTTGTGAAAAATGTGTGTATGTTTGTGTGTGAGCCTGTTCGTGCATTTAAGCATGTGTATGTCTGTAAGAAACACAGGCATACACACAAACTCACACATTGGAACAATTAACACTAACAAGAAAACAAGTTTAGCAATATGTGTCTCTACAAATTAGGACATTTACTTCAATTAACTTAGTTAAAGGGTGAGCAGTGTTTTTGTGTGTGTGTGTGTGTGTGTGTGTGTGTGTGTGTGTGTGTGTGTGTGTGCATGTGATCCAAGCAAGACAGTTGTCTAATACACAGTAAAATGAGCTACAGTTAACAGCTTAAGATTAAAGTCATATGAACAGATTCCTTACAAGATTACATTTACTGTATTACACTATATTGGCATCACTCTCTTAGAAAGAAACACACACACACACACACACACACACACACACACACACACACACAGGGATATATATGAAAATGTCACATTTTTGGTCACCTGACAAGGGCTCAAATGCGATCATCTGACGAATCACAGCAATGGACGGTCAGGCCTCTCTCTTGGTGCACAAAACAAAACCCAAGGTCTCCATGACAACAAAGTACAGCTAGTAGAGCTGTGGGCGAGCAGTTGCCAATTCCTGTCTGCCAGCCAATTACAGCCAAGTGTATAAACAGTCACTATTAAACTGCTGGAGACTCACAAAAGGCCAATAGCAATGACACAGTAGCAAATATGAGGAGCTGACGATAAGCACGCCCGCACACAACATACACACACGCGCACACACACAGACTCATGTAGCCAAGCTCCCCATCTTCCTTTAAGCTACCTTGTGACTGCTGTAAATCACATTGACATAGATGGGCCAAGGGGGTGTGAGCAGAGCTGTAGGGGAAATTTTTGGCACACTCCCAACTCCCTCCTCCTCAGTGGAATCTGGGTGAGGGGGGTATGGGGGGTGAGAACAGCTGTTAGAGAGACCCTTCAAGTGCAGCTGAGATTGGAGGGCAGAATGGGTGTTGGAGGAGAGGGAGAGGAGGGGTTATGATGTTGTGAGGGGGAGGTGGCAGGTTAAGCTATGTGCTGACCAAGCTCAGTTGTGTGACGCTACCATGACACAGCAGAGTGAAGGTTAGCTTCAGCAGGTAAGACAGACAGACCAGTTTACAGCTTTGAACCACTGTGCTGCTAGTGACAGTAGCATGTTTTGTATTTTGCTTCTATGTGCCTAAAAGCATCATTTATTAGTAAATTTAATAAAAGGAAAACAGAGGTTTTAATATTCAAAACAAAGTCAAAACTGTTAGCTTAAAAACAAGCTTACGTCAAATAAGACTAAAATTAGATAGTTTGTTTTTGCAAACTGTTTTTCTTTGACTAAAAACACCATCATTTTGAGGACAAGACCTAGACTTCAACTGATGACAACACAATTAGTAAAACTAATACTGTGTGTCCTTAAGTCATAGACTTAAGACTTAAGCCTAAATCCCTCCATGACTTTGTGACCCTACGTTGTCCTCTAAGGCATTTTATCGCTGAGCCTTTAGGTATTTGCATGTTGCAAGTAACTGACAATTTACTACAAATATGTTCACGTTAGTCAAAATGAGTCAACATTTCTACTTTACATTCGTCTGCTTTAATACTTCTCACAGCATACTCCCACAAAACTGCACAGAAAGCGACAGCTGTTTCATTAATGTTTTCTTCAACTGAGCTGCACAGTAACACAACCTGATTGTCATCTGCACAACAAAACATTAGCACATGCTTGCCTCTCTCAAACAGTGACACATTACTGATGATTCAGAAGTAACGTGTCACTTTTTAATCTGTTGACATGCTCCACCCATTTTAACACACTAAATCTTGCAAATAACTTTGACCAAAAAAATAATCTCATTAACTATATAATCACTGTCTAATAATGAAGGCAAAGTGCTCTATGATGTCTAGAGGTAGCTACGGTAGTGTAGGTTGTATGAATGAAGAAAAAGGTAAAATAGCTGAACAGTAAATAAAAAAAAAACAAAATTAACAAAAACAACAACAACAACAAAAAAAAAAGGAAAAAGCAATACACATCATACACAACAGCAGAAATGGAAATGTCATTAAGCACTAGATGCTAGATGTAGCTTCCGCTGTGGCTGGTGAGAAGTTTCCTTACCTGGTTACAGGTGCTAATGTCTACTCCATTTTTCAGGAATTCAAGGACTTTGTCAATGTTTCCCGCCCGTGCAGCTCGAAGGAAACTGGTGTTACTGTCAGACTGGAGGGACGGAGACAGAATGAAGACAAATATTAGAAACAGGAATACAAACACACATTTAGTTTTTAATTTTTCTACTTTTGGTATTTCTGGTAGATGTGGCAGATGTACAGTATAAAGATAACAGTAAGGGTTAGTTCAGAACATATAGAGGTCAAACTGTATTTATTACACAAAAAGTATTATATGTAAAAAGTTTTTACAGACAAGTCTTTAATATGATTATTTAAAAGTGATTTTTTCCCCCTGGTTTGTCATAGTTATATTTACATACATATCATTCATTAAAAAATTCCAGTCATTTTAGAAAGATGGATGTAGTCTGTTACTGTTGTGCATAGTGGAAGTGTATTTGACATGAGGCTTCAGAAAGTGTTTTATGGTTTTATGGAAGTCAGACCTCCTTGTATCAATAATTTGTCTGAGTAGGCTATTCTAAATTTAACCAACAGACATCAAGGCTGCCTAAGCAGCTGCAACACACACATACGGACACACACAGACACACAGACACACAGACACACACAAAGCAATTACATGTTCAGTAGCTCCTTATGTTTTGCTGCATTTATGTGTATGTACCCACTGAATTTAAAGTTTCACACTGAACTTTTCAAAATGTTGACCTAGTTCCCTTTAAAGGATGTAAAAAGGATGTAACACATGATCCACGGGGCCTCTTCCTCCTGACCTGGATTCAATATCAGCTATGATTACTCCTCAAGACAACCTGAGCCCTCCTCAAAATTTTACTCACAACGACCAGCAGAAATATCTCGACGGCAAGAATGAGAATTAAGAGCCCAACTGCTCTGGGATTATTGAGGCCAATAGTGAGATGCATGAGTGTTCAAAATAAAATAAAAATATTATCAAAGCTGATGGTAACAGTATGATCAAAGCAAATTTTAAACTTCAATGAAAATTACATCATTACTAAAAATCTTTGTTGGTGCATTTTTTTGATGATCGATGATCAGAGATCAACTTTGTGCCAAATGTGATGTTTCCATACACACATCTGATATTTGCATAGGGGTTTAGTAATATTGAAAATATTATATGAAAACATTACTCCATTGTGCTACAGTATGTGAATGTCACACTCCTTTTGCAGAGTGCCACTGGGTGAACTGATCTGAGACTGTTGACAAGATTTTAACTTCTTTTTAGTGGGGTCAAGACAGGAACATGTCAGCCGGTCACCGCTGGCTGTTAACCTGTAGGGTCAGCAAAATCAAACAAACTCCCTACTGCATGTCTGGGTCGAGGCCACACCCCCGTGCAGGATCAAGGGTCAATCCCCTCACATGAGATGTCACCACACACACACACACACACACACACACGCCAGCAGCAAAGAGATTAACACGTTTTCTTGAAGAGGACACTTAATGCAGCACAGGAAACAAACTACAAAAGTCCTTATAACAGTAGAATCATGTCTCTCCACCTCTTACCAGTAAATCATCAACTTCAGATCCAGGGTCAGCAGCTCCATAGAAGTCAGTTTGTTGGTTTAAATCGCTGTCACTCCCAGTGGTATTCAAAGCTTTATCTGATCCACAGGCCTGACATGCTGCTGCATTGCCCATTGTTACCACCCTAATCTGTTGACAATTTCCCAGCTATATCTTAAAACCTCTCTCACTTTATGACTGTATGGTATTGTATGGTCCACCAAAATCCACTGCTTGTAGTTTCTCACTTCGCATCCTTCGATAAAAGCCTCTCCAGCTCACTTCCTGGCTGCATCAATCAATCTTACAATCCATTAAATCTCTTCATGTCTTCTGTCCAAACATAATTAACGTCACGCCAAATTTCACTTACTTCACTATTACCATCACTCTATCCCTTCTCTGTGCCCTTTTATCCCTTGCCCAGCCAAAAAAACCCTCAGCTTCCCATACCTCTGGATCCGTCTTAGTATGTGAACCGAGTCTAGCTGAGGCCCATGTCTTGCCTACTCTTCCTCTACTTCTCCCCTCTCTCAGTAGGATAACAACTGCAGCCATAAACATTTAACCCTTACTATCTCCCCGCCTTGGCTATTTTTAACCTTCCCAGATCCCGCTATCCCACCAAGTCCCCAACCCCTTGCTGAGTGTGTCCAGGGTGGGGTGCATGACAGCTGGGTTTGAGTCGCACCGGAGACCGTGTGGCCTGCGGTGCTCTCCAGGAACGCCAAGGTTCAAGATGAGCCTGAACACAATACTTAGATCAAATTTCATTGACTTAAAACCTTACGCAGAATCTGTTGTTCACCACTGGAGGAACAGAATGTTATGGCATGTAGACATGGTACGGAAAACAGGTAACATTTTTACCTGCGTGCATAGGGTTTTCTCTGCAGAATATTCTAGATACTGGTTCAAACTCTTGATAGCATGTGCTTCTTCAGATTGTAATCACAAATGTGCATCCAAACAGAATTGCAAACTGACTGACTGTTAAAACAAATATCCAAACACAACTCTGTGCTCCACAGTTAACTGACCAATCTGTGTGCAAGACAGGCACTGATTTTACGTGTGCTTGCATCACGTTTTCTTGGATGTTTGCATTATGTTTTCTCTGTCTCATTCATCTCTCTGCCAAGCACACTGCAGCAACAGAGATTGGATTGATTGAAAACCAGCTGTAATCTGTGTTTCTGTACAGGATTTGTGTAGATTGACCTGCAGAAGGTCATGTTATGATGGATACTGGATTATACACTGTACTGTGTCCATGTCTCTGCTTACACTGGAGGAAAATCAATATTCTCTTTAGTATCATAGACATCCCATTAGCAGCTACATTTATGAGTACACAAGACCACTGTATTTTTTTAGCCACTATCATGGTCTGTATTATGAGACCAAATATACTCACACACTGTCAGTATGATGAGAGCTGTCCCACACAGGTTTGATTTAAATAGAGTGAGCAGCGTGTGTGGCAGTATCTTTTATTGCAAATTAGGCCACTTGAAGTATTTATAGATCATTTCGTTTCTTAGACTATCTATTTCACTGACAAACATTTTGAGATCATTCATTTTGTAATTAGTTGTAGCTGTTTACATACAAGAACATAAAAATATCTTGGTGTCACTTTCTGATAAGGCACCATTCATAAAAAAAAATTCCTCCTCCAGCATGACACTTGTCTTTTTAGGCAGATATTGAATTCATTAATGAGTCCTCTCCAATGGACTGTTTCACCACTCAGAGCTGCAGCACATCTGGACCAATATCCATTTATAAAAGCTTATTAACACTCACAGCTGCAGACTTGATGGATTACTGTCAAATCCTTTATTAACAATTTATTACAATTTATAGTTTACTGACTAAATAATTACTTTTGTGAGTTTACTGATGACTAGTTGCAAATTGAGAAACCCATTACCCTTTATTAATGGCAAACTAACATCTGTAACTGCATACAAAATAACATTTATAACTACAGACTTCATGGCTTGGAAGGGTGTCCTCCATGAATTGAAGTGCTAGCAAAGTGTCATGCTGGAGGAGGATGTTCAGCCAACCTGGCAACCCAAAGGTTTTTTATTAAGGGCTAAACCATTTATTAACCATTAATAAAGCCATTAATTATAGCTTATAAATCCTTTATTAACAGTGCCTTATCAGACAGTGAGACCAATTTCTGATTTGTTAGCAGGTGTATCCATAGCAACAAAACTTGAATTTAGTCACCTGTTAAACCTCTCGTTAAGATAACTTAATCTAAGGATAGTGACTTCAAATAATTGATGAGCGATAATGCACTGTGTTCTGATGGACTCTACTTTCTTTTTTTATTCTCCACAGACTTTATTACAAATATCACCAGAGGTTTGCTCCATAAAAGGTCCCATACCACCAGCATGTGACCCCCCTCTGAGCTTGAGCCTTGTCCACATCTGTCATCTGTTCCACCAGCATCCACCTCCCTCACACTACATGATAAATCATCTTAGAGCACAGCAGCCGCAGCACCATGCATGGTCAACCACATCCACATCTGTGTAACCCCCCACAAACACACTCTCATACACTTACAGTATACTCTTAAGCCCACAAGAGCATGTGTTGTTGAAATCAAAATGGTATTAAGCACAGTACACAAACTATGAATGGATATGATTTAGTTTTACCTGCCGCCTTCGCTCAGCTCTTTCACGATGCCGTCTCCTCCTCTCCCTGGCTTTCTGTAGAGCTCTGTATTCTGGATGTTGCTCAAGCTCACGAGCTTTCTTTAGATGGGCTGCAGCATGGGCCATGACCTCACTTTTCTACCTCCGTCTTGAAAAATTGTCTTACAAGCTGCTAGAATTTCACTTTGTTAACCTAACAGGAATAAAGTACCTTTACTCTTAGCCATGCAGACGCCAAACAAATTGTGTTTTATTTTATGGATTTTATAAAGTAATTAAACCTCATGCTGCGACAACAATGTGCTAAGTCACAAGAAAAAAAAATTCTGGGAAATTTTCTGATTATGCTCAAATGACTACAAGAAAACGACCTTCAGATTAACGATCATCCAAGCCCCCCAGCTAAAAATAGAATATAAAAAAAACTCAAAGTAAAGAAAAACTTCCTATAAAGGTAGTTTGACTCCAGAAATGATCCTCTCTTCAACGCAACTGGAAATAAACAGTTTCTCTCTTTCACCTCTTCTCTTTTTCCGTTTTCTTTTCTTCTGTCTTATGTAAGATCAGTGGTCGCTCCACATCAAGCCCGGAAACAGCTACAGCTACATATAAACCAGCTGAAGATGAAATTCACATTCATGTGTGCAAATATGAGAGACCGCTGGAGATGATGACTGAAAAAAGGTTGGTGAATGACGAAAGTAAAACCTATCCACTTACACACTCAAACACACACACACACACACACACACACACACACACACACACACACACACACAGAGGGAATGACCCAGTCCAGATGTACATCAAAACCCTGTTCCATGTGAACAGATGTGTCCACAAAACGTGTTTGTGTGTGTGCAGCATGTGCACGTGCATGCATGTGAGTGTTAATGTTGTGTATGTGAGCCACAGTCACAGGAAAGTGTTTATTGTGTAAGGGGTTTAAGGAGGCTGCATGCCAACAGCCAGCTGACTGCTACAGCAACAGCTACTCTCCCTACTGCTGTGCTCTATCCTGAGGGAAGGACACATGAGGAGCAGGAAAGGTTAATGGGTGAAGAGGGGAGCTGGGGTGGATTAAAAGTTGACAGCAGCAGAAAACAGGGGAAAATAAGGTGAATATTAAAGCTATTTTGTGTAGGATTTTCTAATGTCGGCACCCCCTCAGTGGTAGTAGCTGGTGAAAGCAAAACCTCATACCATCATAATAATTTGGAAGATGCTATAATCATGTAAAAATCCAACCCATAGTGGTTTTAGAAGGATATAAAGGCAGAAATATCTGCAATAGTTTAAATAAATGTTGAAGAAAGCAATAAAAGTGAGTGGGGAAAGTGAGGTATAATAAAGGTAAGGTAACAAACAAATTTAAGCAAGTTAATTATGGAATAAATTCCAATAAATGATGAGGAAGAGGAAGACAAGAAGGGAGGAAGAGAAGTGTAGTGAGACCGGGTACAGGCTGTCCCTCTGTGAGACAGCAGAGAAGACGGGACACTCCACTTGGTCCAGAGGGGGACCAGTGAGCACAGAATACTGGCTCCTAATCACCTGCAACTTACAGGCTTCCCCCTGCATGGCGGAGAAAGTGGGCTGGCCTGACTCTCCACCGCACTGCACCCCTAGTACGGGCAGCTGATGGAATATGATTTGACAGATCATGCGCGCGTATGTGTTTGAGTGTGTGCGCGTGCGTGTCCATCACCAGCAGACAGATGTCAAGGTTCTCTCTCTGTCAGTGCTGCAAATGTTAGGAGTTTGAAATTTCAGCACCAGGGACAGGGACACGATCTCACACCTCTATTTCTGTTCACACATTTTGCCTGATATGTTTACACGGGCTCAGTCGACAACAATGTTGCTGTTGACCGAGAGACATCTCTTTCTACTGCTAATCATGAATGGGACGGATCTGCTGAATCACTCCACACTGTAATGCTGTCTAAAATGTTCCAGTGTGGTGCATTCAGCCTGAGTGCTTCATTCAGTTCCATGGTGATCCTGCTGTTGGAGGAAATACACCTTTCTGTGTGTGTGCTCTGCTCTTCCAGCACTCTCTGCTGGTGAAACAGAGAATAACTTATTCTTCTCTTCAGCACAAAGCTACGGATCTTTGATTCAGCATAATGGATAGAACAAATAACATTGATACATTGATGTTGACTATAAAAATTTTAAAAACTGGCAGAGGGGATTCATTTCTACATCTGATTATGAGTATGACATCCAAAACAAAATAAAAAAAATCTTCAGATGTATTTTCCAGGATCGTTAATCAGTGTTTATAACTGTATTATATTATTATTATTATATATACTGTATTATAACTATTTAATCAAGATCCAAAAAGTGTTTTGCCTCTCATCATGTTTAAATATTGTTCCATATATTTATTAATAAAAACAACTTTCCAACCCCACTTCAAACGTAAGCTAAAGTGTGACTGTGCTAAAAAAAAGAAAATCACTAAAACAGAACCTTCAAAAACACAAAGAACCTTCCCCATAACACAGTATACTGCACAATACAAGCAAATCTAAACTTCTAACAGCAGCAGCTACTGCACTTCTGCACTTCTTAAGTTTCATATTTAACAGACAAAATCTATAAGCATATTGATCAGCATGTTAGTTGATCCTGAAAAACTGTTCTCTCAGTAATATTGTTACAGTTTGTTTGTGTGTGTGTGTGTGTGTGTGTGTGTGTGTGTGTGTGTGTGTGTGTGTGTGTGTGTGTGTGTGTGTGTGTGTATGTGTTTGTGTGTGTACGCAGTATGTCTTTATTAATACTATGAACTTTTTTTTTGATGTCTATGCAACACCAAAAGCTGATCAATGACCTCTATTGATCCCTTCCATCACTCATGCGAGATAATGAGAATTAGGAGAATACATTATAAACTGAGTCTGTGTGTGTGTGTGTGTGTGTGTGTGTGTGTGTGTGTGTGTGTGTGTGTATGTGTGTCCATTTGGGAGTCATATTACATTTTGGGGGGGGCTCCATAGAGAGGTGATGTGAGCTCTTGTTTCTCCTGGTTTAGTGGCTCTCCTAAATGGGGAGGGGTTAATGGTTTGCTTTCCATTTTATAGATCCAGAGGCTTTTATATGGCCCATTAGGACTCTATGATAGACAGATATGAGAGAGGCAGAGATCAGCACACATATCCCTGCACGTGCCTGTTCATCTGCTTCAAATTGTGAGTGGATGTGTATGCAAGTTTGGTGTGTACAAATGCTTTGTCACTTTCACATATTCACATACACATTTATATGTTTGGATATGAAAATAGTTTCACAATGTTTATGTTTATTCTTTGTCTTTTGGGTTTGATTTTCCAACATACCGTACGCTGAGTATGCAAAAGTGCAAAATTCCCAAACGCATTTAAAAGGTGCCCACAAGGAAGAGTTTTAAAACAGTGCTTGCTCTCAACTCCATTACCAAACAACACAACCCTAACTATGATAATGGATAAATAAATAAATACATGTTCATTGTGATGGATTGCCTATAAACTACTTAGTGGTCTCTGCAGGTTTATTTCCATATCATACTGAGATGAACTAAAATGAACCATGGCTGCCTGCAGATAGCAAACTGGATTAACTGATTCTATAATATGCTTTGGAACATATAAAGTAGGCAAAACTTGTAGGAGATGAGCTAAAACATATAAAAACACTGGTGTGTTTCTTTAACTCACCTCTCTGTTCATGAGAGCTAATGTCTTATTTGCTTTTGACATTATTGGCGTGGTTGTTTTGGCTGTTGCTGTTGTTGCTGTTTATGATTTGTCTGCCTGCTAATGGAGCTACACTGCTGACTAGTGGAGTTATGCCAGTGATGAGTGTCTGGCAGCATATAATGCATCTGAGGTTTAATGGAGGAAGGATCCTTCTGTTTCAGATGACTCATTTAGACCTCCAGAAGCTCATACATTTTTCATGACAACAATTTTCAACCCCGTCCCAACTGCTGCTCATCGAGAAATGCTAGCTTTCATTGGTGCTTACATCTGTTTGGTTTAAGTGATGAATTATGCTTATGATAAAAGGGATAGTTAAGGTTATTTCACATGGGGTTGTGTGAGGTAGTTATACAGTATATAGTCACACAACCCCACGTCAAATAACCCAAACTATCACTTGGTAAGTGGTAAGCAACCTGAGGAGTCGAACTGAGAAGTAACACTGCAGAAGAACTAATTCCCTTGCACTTCACCAGCAACCACTGGACTAGACGCAGATACAGAAGAGGTGACTGGAAGGCTTAAACCGAAGAGAAGCAGCTGCTTTCCGCACTTTAAAAATAAATTTTCCATTACTGTCAACACTAGTGCATCACTGAGTGGGTTCTTCTAAAGGCTGCTAGCTGCTGGCCACAAAAGCTCCTGCACAGAGGAGAAAGAAACAATGCCAAATTCTCTATTGAAACAAGAAATCTATTTTCCTCCAAAGGTCAGGTCTTATTAGTTAATTGAACTTCTTGCACTGGGAAATGTTGGATTACAGAGATGTAAATTTTTTAAAAGAATAGTTTCCACTGGCCATAAAACACAACCACAAATTCTTTCCCTCTCTTTCCCATCTTTATGCCAAGCTACTAAGCTCCATACTTAATGGACACACATGAGAGTGGTGTAATTCCCTTAAGGAAAAGCACACTATGTTTTGGTTTGTTTTTATCCCATCGCAGTCAATTGTGCCATGCCACTTGCTATACGGACAATGGCTTCATAATAAAGACAACACATCCAGAAAACAGAAGGAATATTTTTGTGCAATTTATAGTCAAGAAACAGCAGGACCCTTTCCCTTCAGGATATTGATTCCAAATTGCAGCTGAACCCTGCACCACATGACCGTAACATGAAAAATCAACACTGCAGTTTTGCTACCTGCCTGATTTCAGAGGATGTTTCTGACTTTTGATTCCAAAAGTTTAACACGGAAGCTGTCATATAAATGGTATGTTCCCAATTGAAGAGGTTTGTGAGTAACAGTAACATTACAGGAGTTTTTCACAAGCTTCACTACAAGTGTGCTTCCATTTGTTTTTCAAAAACAACGTTGCACTTAAGTAGATGGCATGTCATTCTGTACATAGGTCAGTGTAAATATTG